AGACTTACTCCGTGTGTCTAGCTTCCTATAGGTTATGAGCCCTGAGCTCTGAACAAGCTCAGATCCAGGAAGCCGACCGCTCACGTACGAACTCCAACGCTCACTGCGAAATAAACATATCCACATCCACCATGGGGAAATACGACTTCATTACCGAATTGTCTGGTGCTGATGACTATCCTGCTTGGCGTCGCGCGGTTACTCTCGCCCTCCAAGGAGACGGACTCTGGAACCATTGCAGTTCCGGCACCGACCCCAATAACTATGCAGAATTCGCGTTTGTCATGCCTTCACCAGCTGTCGCTGGTTCTCCCACAGCCGCTGAAAAGCAAAGCGCGATTGAATGGATCAAGGAGGATGCGCAGGCTAAGGGCATCATATGCAGAAAGCTTTCTGCAGTTGTCCAAGGTATGCTCAGCGAGTCTTGGACCGCGAGGGAACAGTGGAACACCTTGGCGACTCATTTTGGACGGCTTGATGTCACGTCTCAATTTGAGCTTCGTGCACAATTGTTCGCTGAAAAACTTAAGGACCCTGACGATGCTCCCCGCTACATCAGCACGTTCGAAAATGCCAGACGACGATTCGCGGAGATGGCCATTGTAGTGACCGAAGACGAGCTAGTATTCCTCCTTCTTCACGGCCTCCCGCACACTCCAGACTGGCTCATCTTCAAACGTATGACAATGAGTTTGTACAGCACTCCCTCACCTGTGGCGTCTACTTCCTCCACCACAGCCTCAGTTGCTGCTACCACTACGAAGATGACTTTCTCCACAGTACTGACGTCCCTCTCTGAAGAGGCTAATCGTCTGCGGGGAGAACATAAGTTAAATGGTCCAGGATCCGAATACGCCAACGTCACATCGTTTAAGTCATTCTCGGACGGAAAGACAAACCCTAAGACAGGTGTTCGAATTCACAAGTATAACCCCAAAGGGGTGAGCTGTGACAATCCTCTATGCACCGGACTTCCACGTTCACTTACGCACGATCGAGAACATTGTTTCCAAACCGGTGGAGGCATGGAAGGTCAAGGAGGTAACAGGAACCGGGACCGAAAGCCAAAGAAGCAGGACGTTGCTGCAGCCGCTGATAGTAATACGGCTCCTCCCTCCAACCCTCCATCATACACTCCCACCGCAAACAGTGCTGTCGCTGACGAGTTACGCAACCTCACATGTGCCCTCATAGAGGATCTCGAATCAGACCATGAATCCCTTCCTCAGTTCGACGACATCGCCTGCATCGCACGTCAGACCCTCTCCACTATACTCGATTCAGGAACTACCTCGAATCTCATTGCTGATCGTAGCTATTTCTGGACTTACACTGAGAGCACTCGCGTAACGGTCAAAACTGCTAATCATGGCAGTTTGGCAACTTCTGGGCGAGGGAATTGCGTAGCAGACTTAACGTTGGGTGGACGAACGTTCAGAATCACCTTCACAGACTGTTTGCATGCGCCCGGCGCCATGATCAATCTACTCTCCGTGGGGCACATGTTGAAGAAGAAGTGGTCTTGTAACTTCGAGCACTCACCAGCGCGTTGTCAGTTGAAGTGTCACGGTGAGGTCTTAGGCGAAGTCCCCATGACTGGGAACTTATTCTTTGTCGACCTGAAATTCATCCGTCCGGACATCACTTCACCGGCACACTTCGAACCCCTGCGAGAAATCTCCGCTTTCGTTCGCCTTCCTTTGTCGCTAGACCTGTGGCATGCCCGTATGGGACACCCGGGCGGGGATGCTGTCAAACGACTCGAACGCATCGCTACTGGTGTCACGTTCACCTCTACTGCCCCCCTCCAACGCTGTGAACCCTGCATCATGGCAAAACACCCACGCAAGCCCTACCCCCCCTCGGAGGAACCTCGCGCTGCACAAATGCTGGATCTTGTTCATGCGGACTTGTGTGGTCCGTTCCCCATAGCCACTCCCCACGGAAAACGTCACTTCATACTCTTTCTCGACGATCACACGAACTTACTGAATATTCAACTTCTGGCCACCAAGGATCAGGCCTTAGATGCATGGCGTTTGATCAAGGCTCGTTGGGAAAATCACTCCGGACGTACGGTCAAGGTTTTTCGTTCAGATAACGGAGGGGAGTTCTTAAGTGTTGGCTTCACTAAAGCACTCGTGGACTCGGGCGTAGAACGCCAACTCTCAGCGCCATATGCGCACCAGCAGAATGGGAAGGCCGAACGGGCCATTCGTACCATCGAGGGACGACTGTTTGCCATGTTGGAGGCAGCAGGTCTTCCAGCGAATCTATGGGGGGAAGCTGCGTTGACAGCGTGCTATTTGTGGAATCGCAGTGCTTCGCGTGCCTTACCATCTGACGTCACACCATTCGAAATGGCAAATGGGCGTAAACCGGATCTTTCTCATATCCGAGTATTCGGCTCACGATGCTTCGCCCGAATTCCCTCCGAGTTGCAGACCAAGCTTGGTCCACACTCCCGTCCTGCCATGTTCGTCGGGTACCCAGAAGGTACCAAGGGCTACCGATTGCGAGATGCTAATGGCACTTTCTTCGTGGCTAGGGATGTTATCTTCGATGAACGTTTGCCTAGCATTCGACCCTCGGCTGATTCTGACTCCGACGAGGACGACTCACAGCCTCGTGTGCTTTCATCCCCACCTTCCCTTCCCCCTTCTGCCGTGCCTCCTCTAATCACTCTCCCTCCGCAGGGCTCAGCCATTGTACCTCGTCGCTCAGGCAGAGCGACAGTCAAGACGCCAGCCGGACAAGCCTTCGCCGAAGGGATCGCAGTTACCAAGGCGCGACTCGCACAACTGCGCGAGTCTCGCGCATCATTGGGTCAGAGAGAAATGGGTCAGAAGGTGGTAGAGGAGAATTTAGCAGATATAGAACCGAACATTGACATCCCCGAAGCCTACGCGAACGTCATGATAGAAGAACACGCGCACATCACCATCCGCAGCGACCGTAAACGGAATCCCAACGATCCTGGCTATGACATGGCCATTCCCCCAGCTACATACGACGAGGCCATGCTACGTACTGATCGAGACGAATGGTTTGCCGCCATGAAGAAAGAACTCGGCATAATGGACGAGATGCGTGTCTACAAGCTCTCTCCCCTTCCAGAAGGACGCAAGGCTATCGGTAATTGATGGGTTCTAGAGTTTAAAGAGGATAATAAGGGAGGATCGGTTTATAAGGCACGTCTTGTCGCACAAGGATTCTCTCAAATACCTGGGGTCGATTTCGGTGCAACGTTTGCACCGGTGCTGAAAACCGCTTCACTACGCCTCATAGCTGCTCTAGCTTGCAAGAACGACTGGGAGCTTCACTCATTCGATGCCACACGTGCCTTTCTCTGGGGGGTACTCAAGGAGGAAATATACATGCGTCAGCCCAAAGGATTTGAAGAGGGAGACTGGAGGGTGATGGTTTGGCGGATGCTTCGGACGATCTACGGATTGAAGCAGTCCGCGATGGAGTGGTACGAACAGGTTCGGGACATCATGGAGGAGTTGGGCTTCTCTCGCTGCGCTGTTGATTACGCAGTATTCCTTTTTGACAGCAGCGCTTCCGGAACTCGCATAGTCTGCATAATCGGCTTCCACGTCGACGACGGGCTGGGTACATCCAACAATCCCGCTTTCCTGACCTGGGTCAAGCAGAAGATTCACCACCGCTTCGGTATCAAGGACATGGGACCAGTCACCAAGTTCATCGGCATTCAGTTCGAACGCAGTCGAAGCAGCCGTGAGCTTTGGCTGCACCAAGGCGAGTACATCACCTACTTGCTCGACGAATACAACCTGCTCGACTGTAATCCCGTCCGCCTCCCACTCGACCCACATCATCCGTTCGGAAAACCTGACGACTCACATGCCATAATCCCCAACCTCCCAACACTTTTCCGCAAGCTCGTTGGGGAGCTACTCTACCTCGCAATCTGCACTCGCCCTGACATATCCTTCGCCGTAAACTCGCTCGCACAACATAACGCGAAACCGTTGCCTGCTCATTACGCCGCCGCAAAGCGACTGCTTCGTTACCTTTCCGGAACCATCAATCTCCGCCTGCACTATGGGGGTGCCAACGTAAACGAGGACCTGCACGCGTTCTGTGACGCTGATTGGGCAGGCTCCCCCATTGATCGTTTGTCGATTTCGGGTTACGTGTGGTTTTACGCCGGCGGGGTCATTGCTCACGTCTCTAAGAAACAATCAACCCATGCTCTCTCCTCCACCGAAGCTGAGTATATGGCGGTAACTCACGTCCTTCAGGAAGGCCTTTGGATCAAATCACTCATCATCGAACTACACATTCATATCCCTTTCCCCATCCACGTATTCATGGACAACACCGGCGCCATTTCCTTGTCGACCGAGGCCCGGAATCATATTCGATCCAAGCACATAGACGTGCGCTATCACTTCATACGTGAGCATATCGAGAAGGGTATGTTCCTGCTTAAGTGGCTCCCCTCCCACAAAAACACCGCGGATATCTTTACGAAGGCATTGCCGCGTCCCCTTTTTGAGAAACACTTACCGGGCCTTCACCTGATGTCTAGGTGAGGGGGTGTATTGGCGATAAGGATGAAAGAGGACAGAAGAGTGCGCCCACACGGTACGAGTCCCGGAGGATTAACCTCCGGGACATACTATGAATTCTCATTTCCTTTCTTGACTCTTATCGACTCGTAGCACCTTCGACATCTTATATCACCCTCGTGTATCAGTCGCTTCTTTCCGTCTCGGACTCGCTTCTCTCCGTCTCGGACTTCTTTACATTCCTGTATTTAATCCCTTCCCCGTTTCCACTCTACCTCAGCGTTGCTTCACCGTCCGCTGAGGTATGATCACATTCTTGTCTCATTTATCATCTTGTTAACGATCAACGCTTGTTCTAGACTTACTCCGTGTGTCTAGGTAGTTAATGAAAGCGTTGCTTCACCGTCCGCTGAGACTTACTCCGTGTGTCTAGCTTCCTATACACAAGATACCGACTTCTACAACAATCCTGCTTTCTTTTTCCACCCAGTGGACCTGAAGGACTTTGATGCGACTTTGAAGGTTTTCGAGGGTTGTGATGCAATCATCCAGTTGGCAGCTTTTACACACCCAATGGACTACAAGACCAAGGTACACAACGAGTAAGAGATCCCCTCCATCACAGTACTTCAAGTTCTTTAAGGTAGATACCCGCCATCTGCAGCAATGTCGTGATCACTTGGAATGTCCTGCGTGCAGCTGCCGAGGTGACTCAGAGAACATCCTGCTGATAATATATTGACTAAATATCCTCAGTTAGGAATAAATCGTGTTGCACTGGCGTCCTCAGTCAATGTCTTGCGTGGGGTATTCAGCACAGAGCCCGTTTTTCACTACTTTCCGATCGATGAGAATCACCCATGCGAGCCTGACGAACCTTACGGGCTTTCCAAATTGTGATTAACTTAATCTTTGTCTCATCGAAGGAATAATAATAGAGCCTGACTAAATTCTGCCAGAATTTCTGAGATGCAAGCAAATACCATCGTCCGAAGATACCCATCTATGCGAGTTGCAAGCATCCGCATCCACATGTTCGTCCCTACGCGCACACGTGCCTATAGACAGGATTACTTCCGCGCCCGAGGTGACCTCTGGGGCTACGTCCAAATGGACTCAGCAGCAGACGCTTTCCTTCGTGCAGTGACTGTGGAAATGGACCATTGGACAGGGCATGAGACATTTTTTATTACTGCGCCTCAGCTGGCTGCCGACGAGGACTGGCTAGAACTGAAGGAGAAGTACTTCCCAAATGTGCCAGTAAACCCTGGCTGGGTCGAGAATGGCACGAAAGGATTTTTCGACTGTAGTAAAGCTGAGCGATTGCTTGGCTGGGTCCACACGGACTACGCATGAACATACACTTGAATGTAGGAATACAGCAGAACTGTGTCATTTGTACTGATAACGTGCAGGATAACACTCGCATGTTCCACTTCAATCGAACAGAACAGGACGAATACCTGGACCCTCAAACCCCTTCTCGACTCTCGTCCCTTTTGGGCTGCCGTGACGCGCTGTGTATGGGCCGCTGCCTTGTACTTTGTCATAGGTTTGCCAAATCTCGATGCCTTTTCATGATCAGCTAGTTGTTTTATTCGATCCAACAAGTGAACGATGACCTTGATCCCCTGAACCTGCGCAAGAATACATCAGACATATGGACGAATGGACGCACTGAAGATTCCCAGCAAGGATCAGTAGTAAGCTTCACCCACCACAGAAATATCCTTAGTCTCATTGTGCGACACACGGGTATCGCAAGTAGCAAACAATAGAAACGCAGACAATTGAGTTAGCATGGTATGGACATCTGAGTTGTACTAGTAAGTACTATAATAAGATTCCCCTACTATCGTTGGGGCAAAGTTACAACACACCTAATACTCATAAGTATAACACACTAGACTCGTGACCAGTATTCTAAACTAAACTAGTCACCAGTCTACTCTCGGACATGTATCATTGTGATTGACCTATCCATAATCGTGGAATTTTTTTTTACATCTCTCGTTATTCCAAAAAGAGACCCACATGTTGGTGGGTCTGGTCCATCTACAAAGATCGCGATCCCCCCCCCGCGATGGAGAATATATATCCTGTGTTCAAAATGTTGTTGTGAGTTCAGGGATCTTGATGGATTCAAGCTTTTTTTCTACCCCTTGCCCGCCATATTCTGTCCTGAGCCTCGAGCATGAACTTCGGTGATGTCACTGTATTAATATTCAGAGTGTATGAGTGACACTAGGGAGGCATGAAACGAGCGAGCGTAATATGGTCACGCAGGATGCAAGAAAGTTTGTAGCTATACAGGTACATCAGTATGGTGCAGTTGATAAAACACGAAACTTACATATTCTTCATAATGATGCAACACCTCTCGAAGCTGCTTGCGTGATATTTCTGCTCTGTAGAGGATTTCATCGTCCGTTCGCTTACCATCGAAGTACTGATTGATCCTGAAAATGTGTCAAAGGAACGTTGGTAAAAACAGCAAAGCGAAAACTGACAGTGCAAATCGTCTCGCAATATATTCATCCTTCCCCTCCGACATAGCTGCTAACCACTTTCGCTCTAACGGACTCGCTGTTCCCGGATCGCTAATCATTGAAGGCTCAAGGGTATCCTCGGAAGATCCCCAACCAACATTCTCCTCTCCTGAATCTTCTTCAGATATTTCGTCAAAGACATCTTCAGCATCCTCAAGCAGGATCGACCCCGATACATCATTGGGCTTGCTCTGCCCTGAGTCTATAGACCGTCTCGGGTACCGCTTAGCAGCTTTGGGCGAAAGTGACAGCCAGGGAGTGTTTACTCGTGGATGCTCGTGTGCATCGCCCACACCATGATCGCCCTTGCGGCTGCTTCTCCGGCGCCCGTGAAGATGGTAACTCGCCCGTCGCTCCAGCTTCCGTTCGTGTGTTTGTCTGACGTGAACCTTGAGCTCAGTGGTAGTGACTACGCGCACATGCAGATGCAGTGTAATAAGGAGATCGCGTTTCAGCATCCAAAGCACGACTTCGTGGTACAAAGATATGAGATCCTTGGACTGCACGACCGTCGCAAAAAAGTGGTTATCGGCCTGCTTGGAATTAGAATCGGAGATCGTGGCCATTAGCGTAGGGAGGGGTGAGATGGACGACTGTGGGAAATCACGTTTGAATTCAGCAGTAAGAGTAGTAAGCCTGCATTCAAATTAATCGATCATAAAACAGAAGAACTGCATTATGTACGAACGGTTTATCAAGCTTAGGAGCAATCGAAAAAATGGTCTTCAATCCATTGTGAACTGTGTCGACAATCTTGGCCCGTCGGTGGTGGACTAACCAGCGAACAGTGGGATATACTTGGGAATGTAGGTCCCAGTCAAGCAGACTGGCCATGTCTGCCAATCTAAAAACGCTGTTATCTTGGAATATCCATGATACGAAGGTAGACTCACGATAACGTGACAGAAGCGGTTTCAAGAAACTTGATCAGACCCTCTGCCAAGCTTCTCTCTTCAGCATGCACGTGCGACCCTCTCAAGTTCGCATACGGATCCAGTTCCTGGTCAGCATCAAGGAGAAGCAAACTCTTCCAAGGCACAAGGGCTGGCAGGCGCCATCCAAAACTGAGCTCGCGGCCCCATAGCTGAGAATCGGTTTGATTCTCGAGACGACCGACGAATTCAAGTTCAGATTCCTCTTCGCTATGTAATAAGTGGTCCAAATAAGGGGGGAGCTGCAGTTCGAGGGGGAGATCGTTGAGAGTGATGTGGGCCATACTAGACGACTTGATGGCATCATAGAGATATTTCATCGCAGTAGCGATAGATGACACTCGTTGTGCCTGCGATGCAAAGTCAGAGAAAGGCTCTCCTAGGTATGCACGTCAGCGACATGTGCTCCACGAGTGCCGGGCGCGATTAACCTTTTATCATATACTCGGTTTCTAGCGAACCAATCGCATCACACTCCAATTCTACAAAGTTTGACAGGACCTGTTCTTGGAAAAGCACAGCAGTAACAGTGAATGCAATTTGCTCGTAGATTGTGTCGAAATATCTTGCAACATTCCCCGAGGCTGATGATGACGGGTCTGGTAAATCAAACACGAGAACAAGATGAAACATGTGCAACCACGAGCTTTTGGACGTCGCTGTAGTGTGTGTGTCTCCACCAAGAGAGACTTCAGAGCTATCTTTGTCTGCTAGGTTGGATTCCCGATGTCGAGTCCCGCGACCTCGTGAGCCAGGTTTGTATTTCTCTGGCTTGAAGCGCCACATGCCGTCAGGTTCCGCACAGACAGGGTGCCCAGCAAAGACGAGGTTATCAATGACGAGCTCAAATTTCTGGTGGCACAGGTGTCCCTGCGGACATAACATACCAGCCAGGAATTGGGCAGTGTAGTCGAACAAAGACTGGTACTCATTCGCGATGGGGTCAATTTCCCTTCGTTCCTCGTTGCAAGGAGAATCACGGCCTGACGCCGGGATAGCGGAACGGGAGAAAGACATGGACCCGTCACGACTCTCAGTGGGCCTCCTCCACGCGTAGTCATCTATATCACCCACGAAACCCTCCATGTGCGTTTCGGCTAAGTCATTTAAACTGTCTGAGCAATGTGATGCACGCCAAGGGTTGTCTAACTCAAGACCATCAACAGGTGGACGCGGACGAGAGAGTCTGGGTCTGGTACTCTCCACGGACGGTGGCCATCGATATACAACGTTTGGCCCCTTTGCTGACGAGGTTACGAGCAAAATTGCTAGGAGAGATTCAGCCATGCGACAAAAAGATTATGAAGCCCAGCTGTAAGATCAGGTATCGACTCTATAGCTCGTTTCTACATTAATGTGTACAAGAGGTAACGGACTTAAGACCGTGCGGAATTCCGGCCACTGCACGGCCGGGCGAAGCTTCCCTTCTAGGTTCTATCCAAAATTTATAATCGATAAGTGTTGCTCCCATACCAAGGTCACCGGCACTCAGCTAACCACTATCTCATACTGCGCTCTTTCGCTTATTGTCCTCGCTATCCCGTATCTGGCGACAAGGACAAAATAAACGCAGAGAGTAACTGTTAATCATGCCGAAGGTGTGTAAATCATCATACCCTTTCGAAATCACTCTCAAGCTGATCATCTCCCTCAGAATAAAGGAAAGGTCACATCTTCTCCTATCTCTAATGTTATCTAGTGCTGGATGCCTTTTTCTTCAGGGTGGAAAGAACCGCAGACGTGGAAAGAACGAAAACGACGACGACAAGCGTGAATTGGTCTTCCGTGAAGATGGACAAGAATACGCACAAGTAACGAAGATGCTTGGTAATGGTCGTCTCGAGGCGATGTGCTTCGATGGCGAGAAGAGGCTAGCCCACATTCGTGGTAAGATGCGAAAGAAGGTCACTATTCGTGCTGTACATTATGAGCGCTCGTTTTGAGACCACTGTTCTAGGTGTGGATTAACCAGGGAGACATTGTGCTCCTTTCTCTGCGGGACTTCCAGGATGACAAGGCAGATGTTATTGTTAAGTATACGGCTGATGAGGCGAGAAATTGTACGTAACATAATTCCTTTCATCGCATGCGCATAAAAATTCATTTAATCACCACAGTAAAGGCCTACGGCGAGCTGCCAGAGAATGCAAAAATCAACGAGACAGACACATTCCCCGAAGAAGATGGAGAATGTACTTTCGAATTCGGTGACGAAGGGGAAGTTGATATCGACGATATTTAATCCCGTCTCTGTATCAACCATGTATCCTCCTTGTTTGTAAGTGGCTGCCTATCTTGTATCACCGGTGTTGACTGGGCCGCGACTTCAGTGTATTCTGTATTGGCCATCTCAACGCATCTTGTACATTGTACTCTTGCGGACACCAGCCATGAATTGATTAGACATGATTTCAGTAGTGTACGTACTAGCAGCGTTATCAAACTGGATGTAGTCACTTCATAGTTCAACCTCATAACTTGTATTGATTCTCCTGATTGAAGACAGTGCTGTATCCCTAACATGACGTGACACAGGTGATGAGACCACATGGCAAATCGGGTATCAATCACGGACATTACGATTTACAAATTTACCGCATCAACTGCAGAGTCTGCAAATCGGGTACACATCCCTTTTCTTTCATGAAATATTCCACAATATCCCGCGCATTCAGTTTCACCGCAACCTTGAGCATGTCGAGTGTTACTTGCGCTCGATCCTCTAGTTTTTGTTCCTTCCCCTTCTGCTTCAATGCCTCTGGACCACGTTCCCGGCAGTCCACTTTTTCTACAAGCAGTCGCACAAGCGAAAGATCCTTACGGTAGATAGCGACAAGGATCGGCATATTGTTTTTGCAACGAGGGGAAGCGCCATGATCAAGGAGAAAGCGAACTAGAGGCAGGAAGCCCACCTGCACAGCTTTCGTGAGGGCGTAGCCATCATGTGAGTTGACATCTGGGGGACGGATTTTTGCACAAGTGAACAAATATTTTACGAAGGGAAGCGGATGGTCTTGATCTGTCCACAAAGGCGTCTTGGCGCGGGATTTTTGGGTGAGCGAACGAAAGAGGCGTCTTGGAAGTTCCGGTATCCAGGTTAAAGGTATAATATTGCTTGATATTCGAAACAACGACTCTAATACGTCCACTGTGCAAATTGGGTACCGCAATAGTTTCGAGAGAATCAAGTCATCCCTAACTTGTGCGGCTTCGATAGAAGCGATAAGATATTGGGTGCGATAGGAGGGCGGAGACGCGCTGAATATTCTGTGGAGCGTCTTACATGTCAGAGGGAGAGAGGGAGATGCAGAAAAGAGCTGTATCTCGTAGAGAAGCTGATGTATAAAAACTATTTGAGTTTCGAGTAGTCTTGGTAAAAACTGGGATCCACGAACCTCGACCGGAAGAGTATTTACTATTGAGATACCCCTTGTCATCGTCAAGATACCAGAGGGTCGGGAAGACAACAGAGGCTGTTATTAATTGGCGAGTTACCGGCAGTGATGCCTAGTGAGGCCCAGATGCAACTTGTGATGTTTGAAGGAGGGTGGAGTGTGGAATCAACAAACGTAAATAACATGCCTTGTCGCGTCTTGTTTGAAGTTGGTCCACATTCCACTGATTACCGGCGTTGATCACATCGAATTGTACATATCTATGGGTACAGCTTAAGAATAACGAGAGGTGCAAAAGTTGTCACTAACTCTGGTGTCTGTCCATGCACACTCGCGTTAACATTTTAACACAAACCTCCTTATACCTGGCACCAATAAATACTAATGGTCCATTCCAACCGCGACGATCCAGGGATTCTTTCAAACGTTTTTAGTTTTGTCTCGCGAGAGATTGGCGAGTTCATGATAAATGCTACCGGTAAATCTGAGGTATGTTCTGTTTTCTCTGATTTAAAACGAATTAAACTGAAAATTGATCACCGACACAGTCCGGTCCATCCAAACGGAGACAGGGACGTGATGCAAAATATAAGGAGCGGGGCAGGCAACGAAAAGGCTATGATGGGGGGATGATCGAGCAGTGGAGAGAGGCTAGCGGTAGCGAGAAGCACCAAGATCAAGTCTACACCGGTGAATCTTATCTCTGGTGTCAACACCACCGTCGATACAATACTGATTAATTCTATACAGAAATAACGTCTAGCATGACCTCCCGCTCCCCGTCTCCCCGTCATACCAGCCATTCAAGAGGCAGAAAAGTCCGCCCTCGTCCTCAAGATGACGCGCCCCTCCCTTCGTCACACTCTGAAACGACATACCCCCAACTACACAAAAAACCCTCCATCACAATGCCTGGCTCACTCTTCCCCCGATCAGATTCGCCCCAACCCGATTCCGTACTGCGTACTCCTCAATCAACTCTTGACGTCGACGCACAAGACTTGGAACCCGGCCCTTCCAATTCTCAACACAAAGCTCTCGCAGACCAATCTGGCCCTTCTCCCTGGCGCACTCGCCCCATCGTCTCCGTCCATGACGCAGTTCAGCGATTTACTGCGAGTGGAGGAGAAGAGAGGGACTTTTCACTGTTAGTCGTCAGTAGTCCTACGGGTCCTGTAGATCCGGAGAGCTCAGGCGCCGTACTAGCAACGCCGCATCTGCCCCTGGGTGGTGTTTCGCAGAAGGGGAAGGAACACGCTGTTGATGATGGCGACGAGGATTTAGCGTTTATACTCGATCATCACCCCGTGCAAGATAAGGTAAAACAGGATAGGGACAAGGAGCGCATTAGAATGTTGGAGGAAGAAGTCAGGATGTTGAAGGAAGAGGTACGTTGCGTCGCACCATTTAGTTCTCTTTATTTTAAATTTTTCGTATATGCTGACATCTTCTATTACAGCTTTCCCGTCGCCGCCGTTCGCCAACTCCTCAAATCCAAACCCAAGTCCCAACACCACCCCCACCCCCACCACTTCCTCCTCCTCCCGGCGTCCGCATTCCCCTCCCTCCTTATCTAGGCGAAAGCAAGGCTCTTTTTGCAAGTGCGCGCGCTGCTTTACGCCCAACCGAGGCCGGTGCGACCGGGAGCACAAATGATCTGGCGAGGTCAGCAAGCGGTAAGGTGAGACAACCAACCGTCAACGTTCCTAGCGATAAAATGGCTGCGTTCTTAAACGAGATGAGGACGGTGCGGTTGAGGAAGGTGGGGTCTGCACCTGGACTTGGACCTGAGGGACTGAGTAGGAGCGTTAGTGATCGACCCGTGGTCGATCGACCTGGGCCCAGTGGATTAAGTCGTAGTGTGAGTTCGAATGCTGCTGGAGTAAATGGGCGGAGAGAGAATGTGGCGAGGCGTAAGTCGACGGGCGTGAAAGCGCCCGTTGGTTCAGCCGCTTCCGGTCTCGCTTCTGCGTCGACTAGCTCGTCGAGACCAGCTTCTTTTTCCAGCGTGAGTAAAGCAGCATCGACCTCAAAACTCCCTTCCGCCTCGAGCATTCCCAAACCGAAATCTGCTTCAACCGCGTTGAAACCACCATCTTCATACACTTACCCGGCCCCCTCATCGCACGCAACCCGCCCAGCCTTAAATAACAAACGCAAGGCAGATGCCCTAGGCGACTCAGAAGGGAGATCTACTTCCAAACGACGTCCAGGTACTTGTGCGCAAGCCCAATCAGACACAAGCTCTTCATCGTCATACTCAAGAACACACGAATTTGCCGGTTCCACACACTCAAATCTCTCACTCCCAGGTCCATCACATACGAACCACTCCTCGCTATCGAACGAAACAGACATCACCACTCCCTCTTTATGCTCTGATAACGAGCTTGGAGGGGACGCGGATGGTAGGATGCCGTCGACGCCGCCTGGACCAAGGTCTGCTGCAGCTACAATTCAGAACGCGCATGATGATGCTATAGAGATTATTGACGTGGATATGGAAGACAAAAATGTCGATATCGAGCCTGCACACACTCATGTCACGCCCTCCTACCCACAAAGCGATTTGTTCAGGAAACGCCCGCCGATGTCGCCGTTGCCTGTACTAACGCCAACGAGGGTGCGAGCGCCTGCGCGTGCCAAGGGGAGGAAGTCTGTGCCGACGCCTGAGAGGACAAAGAGGGGTGCGACGCCGAAGCCGAAGAGTATCATGCTGCTCGACGAGGATGACGACGACGACGACGAGGATGAACCGGATGAGCTGGCGTTACCCCCGAAGTTGGAATGGCGGCGCGAGGTTCAGCCCAGAGTCGCAAACAATTCGACCGCGGCTGATAGCAAGGGCAAACGACGACTGACGTTAGACGAAGAGCTTGCGCGGGCAAGGTCGTCTGATCGGCTTGTGGAGCTTGGATTAGAAAGTGGGGAGCTATTTGGGACGGGCACTGGGAGTAAACGACGGGGATTCTTAGCTGGGGGTGGTGCGGGTGGTGCACCTGTGTTTATGGGCGCAGGGTATGTTCGGGGTGTCGAGGAGGATGGACTGGGCCTGCCAGTGTCGAGGATACCGCGGCGAAGAGGCTAGCATGTTTCAAAATATTTATTGTAATCTTTATCGCATTCCCTTGGCTCTCATGTAATTTCTTGTATAGCTAGCTGTGTGGAAACCCGCCGTAACGACGGTGGCGATAATCACTAGAACTATTCGGAAAGTACTTAAAATGGTCACTCTTTTAATCATTAGTTAACGCAGGAGTGACAAAATCATCAAATAGCGTAGCGCAATTGAATCAGAGTGCTCAGGTTAATCATACAGTGTTGTACCGTAAAATTTCCGTCTCATGTCGCATTCCGCGAGTCAAGGCTAACAGAATGTTCTCGATGCGAGCCTGACGGTCCTGTAAAATGGTTCATCACCTCATACCACAATGACGCTATGTTAACTCACTTGTAAGTCTTTCATCTCATCTTTTAGTTTGCGGACTGGTAATTCGCGACAATCCTCTAACAGTGCTTCAATCCGATTGATGGAGGAGTCCAACCTGTCCATGTTCGTGATATCAGGTAGCATTTCTACCGGTGGAGTAGACGACGGGTCGTTGAAACGTTGTAAGAACAAACTTGTGACTGGTGTGGACGTATTCAGGCGCAAGATCTTTCTTGTGCCTGATGGTTCTGATAACGCAGGCAATGCGCTGACCTTTCGAGTCCTCGGGGGTTGTGATTGCGACTTCTTTGAAAGTGAAGCGGATCTCTTGTGACGCCGTGGTTCCGAAATGGGTGATGACCCAGAGTCTTCATGTCTAGATGTAAGTAGTGACCGCAGGCTGGTCTCGTCCACCTCCGAGTCATCAAAAAGCTCAAAATCCCTGGAATCCTCGACCTCGAAAATCGCCTCGTACAAATCCGCCGACTTTGAACCGACAAAATAGTCGACAAATGGCATGTTCTTGATGTGCCTTGGGATGCTGTGATACAGACTGCGAGCAGCACCCCTTCCGGACTCACGCAGCCGCTGTTCAGAAGCCAAGAGACGTTCGTACAAGGCGATAGCGATCAAAACAGGGAATGACTATTGTGAACAAACATGGTGCAGTGCAGATAACGGTTTATAGGTGATGGCTTAGGAAAATATAAGAATGCTTACTGTAAGCCTGATAAGGAACACGTTCGCAGAGTGCAAAGAGCGGGGCGAAAGGATGTAACTTGCAGGTTTGAGTATGACAAAGGCGAGAATGTTGAAAGGAGGTTGGTAGCTGAATAAAGCATCCGATTTTACGCTGATGAAGAAGTTTAGCCGCAGTGTATCACGATTTGAAACATCATTGAGGGTGCCTTACCCCTGGATAGTCGATATAGTGCATTGAAACAGAAACTTGGTACCGAGTCAGACAAGTGTGCCACTGACCAACATTCTGTGATTTCATTACCTCTTGGGTGGCGTTCTGAAAATGCAATGTCATTTGAGCATAAGATTAGTAACTTACCAACTGTCACTTACTGCATCGATTCGGGCAGCGGTATTTGACAAAATGGAGATGAGAACTAATATGTCAACTCAATAGCGGCCCCATCATCATTAGTAGTCAATACGCACTCGTCAAGAGAAGGGTGCCCGACAACGCTGCGAAGAATGTCATTAAAATGGGACCGAACACGGGATGAAAGCTTTTTGCTTGGGCAAAACTGAGGTACGTGTAGCCGAACCAGATCTGAACCATCAACCAAGCGATATTGCGTATTGTCCATGTACCTGAAGCTTAGATAAAACAATCAGTAGTCTCGATTTAGTGGTGCAAATGATTTATAATTTACCTAAGGTGTACAAGGTCAGCAAAATACCAGAGAAACAAACTGCCGCTATGCCGATGAAAAAAATAAATTCAGCTATCATTGCGCGCAACGCCCTTTCAGTAGAGAAATTAGCAGGAATGTTACGAGAGAAGAATGAAACAATTTACAAAACGACAACATTATTGTTTATTGCATAAAAAGCTAGCCTGTAAAAGAAAATCAACAAGTCATGATATACAAGTGGACCAGTTATACCGAGGAGCAAGAACGCAACATCCGCAAGCTAGCAGGTCGAAAGCAAGCTGAGACATCTTTGCTAATAGGAACTTCCGATTGAGTCCCAATCACCTACACGAGCAACACAACTAACCATCATCATCCCACAGCCCCTTCACTCGCAAAACCAGATAGCCGAGAAATATTATGACAAATGATGTGTCAAAAACGTTCCATATCTAGAGAAGCGGACTTCAGCTTCAGCCGGGGAGCTTGGACCCAAAGATGAAATTACGTTGGCAATGTAAACTGCACAAGTACATCAGAAATCGAAATGTGACAGTTGAACATGTACTGACTAGCCCACCCGTACTCCTTAGAAGCCGTGTACTCTTGCAGTGTGAAGGCAATCGCAAAAACCAAGAATACAGACTCCCACGGAGTCACATGAGAGACGTCTTGCGCTAAAAATGATTGGCTACTCTGACTCGCAGTCAGGCTGAAAACTCACTCCATATACACGCAAGGAAAACCACCAGGAGCACAGCTATGTTGACAAAATGCAAGATCGCAGAATATCGTGGAACCCTCAATCTGATAAAGTGTGAGCTCGACGTGAGAAGTACGAATGTTTGATGGACCTGTAGTGATCAAGCATCGGTGCCGTACGCGGGTCGTACGCCATAATCGCCCTCTGCTTGTAATTGTCTGGCACCATCGATCTGTTGCCAGCGATGGATACTATGATGCGCCCATTGTATATATCAGTTACAACGCTCTGAACAATCGCGGAAGCCAGGAATGTCTTTGCCTTCGTGGCGATTGCCATCTTATTGAGGGTCATTGAGATTGATTGAAAAAAATAGATATGGCCTGAACTGACCTCAATGGCACACTGAGGATCATCGACATACTCATCTTCCCCTCCAATAGCGTCTTTCACCTCCTCGATCACATCATCCGGCGCTCCTGCTAATGGACACCAGAGGGTCGTCAAAACAGCGACCAACTGAATCTTGCTCGATGCGAAGTGACTCAAAAGCTTCAATGCCATGATCTCACAAAGGGTGGCGCGCGAATACATCACCCCGGCATGAGCCAAGTCTGAGCCTGACTGTGCTAAGAAGTATGAACGAACAACCATGCACGCGTATACTATAGCCATGTTCCTGAGCTTCGCGTACTTCGTGACCAAGGGGCGCACTATGGCAAAATTGATGTCCGAGGCCGTGAGTTGCCTGTGAGGATGTCATGAATGACCCAGCCCGAACTACCGTGAAACATAGCAAATATCAACGTACTCCCAACTAAGCGGACTATCTGAGATGTTCGTTAGCCACGTGTTTGAATGATATATGCATCACAATAAAGTCTCTCACCGATAGTGTTCTGCATTGATGGCCAAACAAAGCGTCAATGATAGCATGTGCCTAAGTTGGAAGATGCAACTCACGATTACATCTTTCTTCAGGTAAGGAATAAGCGGGAACACTTTCACAGACGCTAAAAACTCCTGTGAAGGAGCGAGCAACCCTTGACTGATTTGCTCCTCCGCATCCATGTCAGCAAAATCAAATCGCAGGTGGCTTAGTTAAGGAGCAGGTAATTTCTCCTGACAATCTAAGGTCTAATCACTCGCACGGGTTGCCAACTCGGAAGGTGGTTTGAACAGCGAGTAAGTCGTCGGGCCACAGAGGTTGTTGAATGCTGCTAAGTGTTCAAGCGATTAAGTGTATTGTTATTATTTTATGCCGTAAATAACATAATGATTATACTTATCCGAGTCTGGCCAGCAGTTCCTTATTGAGATACAAAGTCTCCAGGCGAGCAATATCCTTTGTTTTCTCTCCTTCAATAAAGTCCCCTAAATTCATCTTCCGCTCGTTAACTTTCGACGCTATCCTGTGATGAGCCATGGGATGCTGTTTTTCTGAACCTGTGGATTTTGATTCTGAAGTCAATCTTTTTCATTTCGACCTCCATAGAGCAGTGGGCAAAGGAGCTTTCGGCAAGGTCGGCCATCTTTGATTCTTTGTTACTTTGTGTGGTCACTCATAAACCAGTGTCTGCTTAGGTCAGGGTAGTCGAACACAAGCGTTCTAAAAAGCTTTATGCCCTCAAATACATTGATAAAGCGCGATGTATCAAGCAAAAGGCCGTGGCGAACATCATACAAGAACGTAGACTACTCGAGGAGGCGCGTGATACCTTTGTTGCTTGCATGTTCAAGTCTCAAACTATATTTTTTATAGATCGACCACCCTTTCATTGTCAACTTGCGATATGCATTCCAGGATGACGAAAACTGTTTTTTTGTGCTCGACCTCATGCTGGGTGGAGACCTCCGATGTGAGTCAATCGCAGCCTTGTTCTATTGGCGTGTTCTAAGATCATGTACCGCAATGAGTCCATTTGGAAAGCAGAGGATGCTTCAGTGAGGACGTAGTCCAATTTTGGGTTGCAGAGCTGGCTTCAGCTCTCGTTTATTTGCACAAGCAGCGCATTATTCATCGGTAAGATTTTCCTGCAGCGGAATACCTTGATCATTGACTAGAGCCGCAGTGACCTTAAACCAGATAATATCGTACTTGATGCAAAGGGTCATGCACATATCACCGACTTCAATGTTGCCATCCATTATTCGGAGCGTCGGTTGCACACTAGTGTCGCTGGTAGTATGGCATATATGGCTCCCGAAGTCGTTGGAAGGAAAGGATACACATGGTGTGTCGACTGGTGGAGTTTCGGTATTACAATCTATGAGTTGTTGTTCCGACGACGTCCATTCGATGGACGCACATCTGAAAAGATGACCAACTCCATCCTCAAAGATCCTCTGAGGTTTCCCGATGATGCCCATAAGAAATGCAGTTCAAACTGCGTAAAGTTTGTGCAAGCAGTAAGTGCCGACACTCGTTAACATCCGTCCTTTTCTTAATCTGGCCACAGTTACTCGAACGTAATGTTAGCCAACGTCTAGGTTGCCGACCACATGGTCAAGGCTTCCAAGACATTCAAAACCATGCATGGCTGCAGGGTACAAATTGGCAAAATACGGATACGAAAGCAGCTCAGCCTCCTTTCGTTCCAGACGTGAGTATTATGAATTGTTAATCGGTTTCCTATTTATTCCTCGTGCAGATGAAGAAAGCTAATTTTGACGTAACTCACGAACTCGATGAGTTCCTAATGGTTGAAAAACCACTGACCCACACAAAACGCAGGGCAAACCCGGATTTAGCCAAAATGAAGCCGGAAGTGAGGCAGTTGGAAGAGCAGTAGGTTCGCTCTACGGGTTTCCATAATAGTTTTAACTCGTTTCGTCACTAGATTCACCGTTTATGACTTTATGTCCACCAAGCGCAGGTCGTATTACCCTCATAACGAGCCCATTACCACCGTCGTACGGAGCTTAGAATCTGACCAAATTCCGGTTGTTCAGTCAATATCAAACACCCTTGTTCCAACCACGACGATGGGAGACAGATCCCAAGCCGGTTCTCCAGCCTTGGATACCACCTGCCACCAGCATATGTCCATACCTCTCTAGCATATGACTGTTTTTATTACCTTAATACTAGCGGTCCGTCCTTAGCTCTCACTACCTGGATTGTATCTCATATGTATTCGACTTTTCAGATGCCCATTGTGCATTTAATGTTGTATTTTCTAACTGAAGCATTCATATTATCTCCATCTCCTGGAGTCTTTCGCATTAACCAATTTATGTACATATTCACACTTCCTTGCTCGCACTGTGGCATTTATGTAGCATCATTGCTAGCAGCGTTCTAGCTGGTGTATCTACTACCTTCGTAAACGATAAGCTTGCATCCGTTCAACATCCATTATAGGTGTTAGATTCACTCTTTTTGCACTTGACTCGAACAAGAAATCATAAGAAAGCACATTTTCGAACTTGCCAGACTTGGGCTCCTAGGCCTTGTTTTGGGTCGTGCCAGTTGATCGAACCATCGAACGTTGTGCATTACAGCTCTTTGCATAATTATGCGGAAACGCAAAAGTTGAATTTGCGTGTCGGAAATGCCCAAGGTAGGACCCCATAAGCACCATCTGAGCGAGAACACACTGCAGACCAATCCCAGTCCAAGGCAGACAGTAGAACATTGTGCTTCCAGTGATGGCTTCATGTGCTTCCATATCCCCTGAGATACCTCAGTTTGAGACTGTCTTTGTTGATACATACGTGAAAAACTCGACAGAACACAATGGCAAAAGGATGTGAAATCTACAAAGATCAAAGAAGTCGTTTTTCTTGTCTCCACACTCAGTTACCTTGACTTCCTTACTACAACTATGCTTGCAAAGCATGATAAATCACTCTATAAGGACATCTATACTGAGGTTGCAACGTCGACTATGTCATAGGTCCATGACTCATGCATGTTGGGATGAGGTCAGCCTGATAGTTTTGTATACTAGTGTCTTCTTGATACCAAGCAAATGATAAACACTTGTGACAGAATGGCCACGTTGGTGTAAAACAGGAACGCAAGCTTTTAAAATTTTAGATCTAGTGATGAGACGGTGTGCGGTGGCATGCTGGAGCATGAATGAGTGCACAATTGAGCCAAAGACTTACGGGGTCCTACCTCGGGCATTTCCGATATGCAAATTCAACTTTTGCGTTTCCGCATAATTAAATGCAAAGAGCTGTAAGCACATGGTACTTGGCAATATTATAGATTGTCGCTGAGTAAGCTCCCCTGAATCTAACAACTTTTATCTCACGAACACTCATCCCCTTACTGTGAACTATTTACATAATGTCCACTCGAATTCAGCCGCAAACTATTCGCACTGTGGGCAAACTATTCGCGAATGCTACTATTAAAGACGTCGAAACGCCCATTTATCCACCCAAGCGATCGCTTCTGAGTCGTGTACATCTCTAGTTAGCCAGTGATCACTGTGCACTCCTTATTTCCTCTCTTCTAACTCTCGTATAAGTCAAGGTGACATCACTGAAATCGAGGTGGATGCGATCGTCAACGCTGCCAAATCGACATTGCAGGGTGAGTCATGACGTGGCCCATAGTATACAACGAGTCAGCGCTCAGCTGCTGATGTATGTGAACCAACCGTAGGCGGCAGCGGAGGTCTGTCGAGCTCCTAAGTGTGATCGTCATATCAAACTCACAAGGTTTAGTGGATGGGGCGATCCATATGGCTGCTGGCCCAGCACTCGCCAAATCATGTACGATCTACTCCCCTTCAGGGCGCTGGTCACAATCTCACTCTATCCCGTTCGCTTGACATAGGCAGAGAATTGTATCCTGGACGTCACCCCTGCCCAACTGGTGACGCTAAAATTACTCCGGGTTTCCAGCTCCCATCGTAAGTGTACCGTCTTTGCCGGTTGCTCTGCTGACCTTATTCCAATATTCTACACGTCAGGAAACACGTTATCCATACTGTAGGACCAAGATGGAGTGTTTCTTCAGACACAGAGACAATGGCTAGTCAGCTTGCGTCTTGCTATAGAAAGAGTCTTCAGTTAGCGGTAGACAACAACTGCAAGAGCATCGTAAGCCATCAACGATTCTTCATTCTGGCACGCGATATCATCGTGCGACTCTAATTGGCATGCAGGCCTTTCCCCTGATTTCAACTGGCGTCTATGGATACCCCATCGGCGAGGCAGCTCGCGTTGCTCTCAAGGAGACACGAATTTTCTTGGAAGGAAATAACCAGGTGACTGGGAGCCCCTTCGTGACTTTTGGATGATCGTAACTATGAACTTTCAGTTGGACCACGTAGTATTTGTCATTTTCACCGGGAGGGATGACGATCAAAAGATATACGAGTACGTGGCAATAATGCGCTTGCACGGGTCTAAATTCACGACGCTGCAACCAGAAAATTCATTCCATATTATTTCCCTCTTGGACCAGAAGATATTACGGAAAGCGTCGAACTTCTGTCGAGCGTGAAAGGTCCCGTAGATGAATAATTTCTGCGTTGCATTGTTTCACTTCACAGCATTTTACTTCCAGAACCAAATCAAAATAGTTACCGAGCAATTACTTACATCCATTCTGATACACAAAGTTGATAGGCTCTCTAAGACTGTCTGACAGATGATAGGAGGATGAAACAACTGATGTCAAACTCGATTCATGAATTTTCTTTGCAACTTGACCTGTTCACCGGCTGCAAGACGAGATGTCATTCGAAGCAGAATTCTGCGGCCGCATCGCCATCATAGTAGGACCGGCGAGCCACAAATATTTTCAACGTAAAACACCCTTGGAAGACTCGCGGGTTCCTTGATGGCAACACATGTTGATGCGACGTTCGTGGTTGTTACAACTGTACAAAGGAATGACCATCTCATGTTACATGTAGTCTTTATACAATCTGCCTTCAGCTTTTTGTCATGTCCATTGCATTACTTCAGCTTTTGTCTCGTCTCTCCAATCAGCTCGTTTCTTGGACATTCCCCTTTGAGGCTCCATTTAGTATTTAATAACATGGCACGTATATGCATCTTGAGCGGTATCTCTAGAATTGCATTAGCTTACAACCTATAATTCTTGTTCCCACGGTAAGACTCGAAACTTGATGAGTCATCAAAAACAAGTTGATTGACTAGTACTAAGAACCACCAGATGGCATCGCGGTAAGCTCGAATTCAGCTCGTTGTAAAACATTGTGCAAACATCGTGCTTGATACAGTGATGGGAGAACGTTTGGACATATCAGTGGCGTGGAGGTTGGCACAAATTTCAACTCAAAGTGAGTGCATAGAGCATGATTGTCATACCACAACGAATTCACACTGTGCCCTTTCCAAGAGCTGCATTAGCCGACGCAGGCGTACATAAACTACAACAATCTGGCATACATGGGGATAAAGAGCTTGGCGCATTTTCCATATGCTTGTCCAAAGGGTATGAGGATAATGTCGACAGGGGAAATATCATGCACGTCCGTTTCCTGCCTAGCCGTCCCAATACTGATATAACTTTTATTATGTTCAGTACGTATGTTGGCTCAGGTTAGTCATCGCGCTATAATGCTCGTGATTTCACTGTTTACCCTTATTCAGGTGGACAAGATGAGGATGGAGTAAGCAATATCAAGTCCTCGTCCTATCATTAAACATGTTACAATTGCATTTCAGAAACAAATAAGTGACCAAGACCCCGATTCTGGAGTGAATAAAGCCATGTTTGTAAGTAAGCTCATTTGTGACAGTTCTTCCCAGTAACTCACATCTTGAGTAGCTCTCCTCTGAAACCAGGCGACCAGTGCGAGTCGTACGCGGAGCGAATGACGACAACGCTTATTCTCCACGTCGGGGGTGAGGGATGTGCGCTCGCTCCTAGCCCGCTTTACTGATCCACATTTAGTTTTCGTTACGACGGGCTGTATGTCGTCGATGAGGTGCTGGTTCTTTTCACCATATCATGAACCATTACTGATGCAGACCAGGCCAAGATGATGGACGGAAAGAAAGGATTTCAGATGTGCACCTTTAAGCTGAAGGTGAGAAACACCACGAAAGCCCAAAGATGTGACTGACCTATCTCTAGCGAATTGATGAGGAAGGCCAGAAGCCGATACCAATAAGGCGCACCCTCACCCTCGGCAAACTGGCAAAAATGAGGAAGAATACTCGTACCGGATAATCTGCCCGCTATAGTTGTGATATCTTGGCTTTCAATCGTCATGCAATGGAATCTCTTCATATATACCCGTGTATTAGTATGTACAGCCGTCTGCCTGCGTTTGTAGTTTTACCAACCTCCTACCTCATTGATTAGTGCGCGCATGATGTGTGGACCATGCATACATTATATTTGCTCTCAACGAGATGTGCCATTGCAATTTCGATTTGTTCCTAAAACTGTATGTGCGGGAAGTCAGGGTATGCTGTATCCCGGAGCCAGATGTAATGTAAAAGTGGATGAGCTCCAAACGGACTTCACGAAAGTAACAGAATGGGTGTGATGACGCATAACAACACGCGTTGGCTGCAGCGGCGATGCAGTAAGAAAATTCATGGCAGAAGTCGAGAAAAGGCAGCAAAGCAAAGTGTCAGAGCAAAATAACAAGGAAGAAAGGTCAGAATCGGCAATGCAGAACCACTAAATGAACGTATTGGGGAAGACCTCTGAGCGATATCGTTTTAGCGCCCAGGTCCATGCAACAGAGATGATCACTCACCACCAACCATTATGCACATGATAGACGACGGATTCATTTACAATGTTACTGGTGGACCTAGGTCATTACGACTGATCCTCATCAGGAATTTCTCCGTGCTCATCCGGGATGCTGACAATGCTTTGGGGTCGGTGCTTCGATAAAACGACACTCTCCAGCATGACCACCATGTCTTCGATGTCGTCGTCAACTGCAGGGACCTCAGACCCTGCGCTATGCACAGTTTCTTCTGTGGCGAGCTCTTGAGACTCAATTGAACCATCGGAGTTGGCATCCCCATGGGACGGCGGTTCTTCGACCAGAGCTTCGGGGTGCACTTCAGGCTCAGAAACTTGGGGAACGTCGTCCACCATTGCGTCAACATGAATCTCAGCATGTGTTGCCTCGGGATGCAAGACTTCCACGATACTCTCTACAACTTCCCCTACAACGCTTCGGACCCCTACGGCTGATACCTCGTCGACGTGATCACGAACTTCATGCAAATCGGCAATTCCTTCTGAATTCACGGTTTCCTCTAGGTCGTGGCCATTGTCAGAATATCCGCTTTCTAGATGATCGAGCTGATGCTCAACATTGTTGGTAGAAACCTTGGCTGCATCCTCTTGTACCTTCGCTTCATTCATCCTTGCAGGTGCTAATCCTACCCTAAGTTTTGACGGACCGCGGGGAGTGAGACCTGTAGACGTCGATTTGACAGTACGAATAGGACTAGCCGCATGAGGAGGAGCGCGCGCCTTCGACATGGATGCAGCAGTAGGCTTGCTCAGTCGTTCGGCTGCGCTGCTGCTGAGTGTTGCCTTCTTCACTGGTGGAGGAGCGGGTGGAGGGACATTACGAGAACGTGCGAGAGATGCTGCTGTAGGCGCAAACAAACCCGAGGAAGGCGTCTTTGGACGAGATGCATTGGTCGTATGCACGGCAGGCGTTTTCGGTCGAGAAGGGGTAACAGGTGTTGATTTTGGAATCGACTTGGGGGTGCTACGGACAGTGGAAGTATTGGATGCAGCCGATTGTCCTGTATGTTGTGGTTTGATGGGCTGAGAGATGGAGGAGGAGAGTGAAGATTTAGGTGGAGACTTCACTGGAGATTTGACCGATGCGGTAGAGGGGCGTGGTTTTGCAGGCGAAGTTGGATTCGTCCGAGACCCAGCAATGGGTGTAGCCTTCCCAGAGACTTGCTTCTTCACTGTGGGCGACCTGGCGGGTTCTGGGGGCGTGGATGCGGTCGTGGTGGTCTCTGCCGGCTTCTCTGTCGTGGGCTGAGGGCTCATGGGTGGTGACGTGTTCTGGGTGGCGGCGGAAGAGGACAGAGTGAGCGCGGTTATATCTGCACTCGCAGATTTCACATGTTTAGGCGGCCACTCCCTCTTCTCCTTTGTATCTTCTTTTGCGGAATCACCAGCAATTTGTGACGACACACTGGAACTGCGCGGGATCGTAGGCGCAACAGAGGACGACTGGCGTTTGTTCTGCTGCTCAAAACGTCCGATGAGATTTGCAACGCTCTGACGAGGTCTCTCATCTGGCAGAGGCCTGCACGACATCATCCGTCAGAGAACCGTTGGTTAGGACAGAACACGAACGACTTACATGGCGCGCCCTGATGAAGGTTAGAATAAGAGAATGAAGAAAAGAAAGAAATTTACAGAGTGAGGGTACCCTCGAAAGACCTGACTGGCAGATACGTTGGGAAAGGTGATGATCAAGCGGACACAGAAGGTGATGGTTGTTTTCAGCTTGATGAGTGACTGACTCAATCCGATTTTGGCAGCACCAAATATATCGCTAGGCAAATAACGAAAACAAGGACGACCGGACATGACTATAGCAGTATTAATGGTAGTACAAGACAAAACATATTAGAAGCAGCGATTGACATGATCAGAGCCAATCATGATATCCAGCTGTCAACAGCCTGCTGTAACGCAATTCTAGCGCCGTCACTTTGCCAGAAGTGATTCGCATTCATCACCGGAATAATGTCAAACCTAGCCTTCAACCCATCTGTTTGCCTGAGTGTATCAACCCACTCGTCATATTTCGACTTGCTCGTGAACTCGTCCTTATCTCCGTATATGAGGAGGAGTCTGGCATCAGGGTTGCACAAGATGTCACGTAATGCCAAACTGTACATGCCAGTGTGGAACATAGTCAGTAATCCTCTTGGGCTGATGGGGTAGGATAGCAGTATGTGTGATGTTTTCACTTTGGGGTTCAAAACAGGATGGAGCGAGGCTATCAAAGAGCCATAAGAATATCCCTGCAGCCTTACATCAAAGCGTGCATTGACATTTTTCAGGATGTCGTGCTCACAATTACCGTCAAAGAATCAACTTCGGGTTTCTCTGCCAAGAACTCCTGCACGAGAGCCTTGAGATCCTCGCCTTCCGCTTTGCCTGTGAGGGAAGGCCATCCACTGGATTTGCCGACACCTCGGGAATTATACCGTATCACGTAGTAGTTCTTGTGTTGCAATAATCTAGTGAGTACCTTCAGAGTCCTTTGGACTCACCATCAGTATCCGCAAGGGTTTGTGATGATTGGCATGGCACTGACGGTTCATGCATGTTGCCCCCAAGCCACGACCAGGGATGCAAGAGGATCGCCAGTTTCTTGGAATCCAGCTCCGGTCTCGGATACCATATATTAACTTGGAGTGTAACGCCTGTAGACACTGATCTCGAACCCTCCGAGGTCTGTACTGAGGGGACCATTGTCCAAGACCACGTTATGAGTTGGAAAAGGTCGTGCCTAGGCCCTCGCGCTTACGTGTTCCGAGAAGTTCCGAGTAGCCACTGATCACTAAATAGTAAATACATGTGTAAGTAGTACTTATAGACTCTAGACCTCGAGGGAGCTGACGTAGTATCTAGCGACCTTAGTGCACCTGACTACAGGTTGGGCTGACATCACGATACTGCCTGGCAGTGCTATAGGCCTTGCAGCAAATAACAACCAGCCATTCTATGCGCACCTCGCTTCAAGCCTTCCAAAGATCTTGAAACGTTCTGAAATCGTCAATTTCAAGTTGACGATAAAAGCCAGGGTCAACAGTGAAGTCTATGCTAGCAGCTTGGCCTTGCGTTCTGCTCTTTGATGCACTTCAAGAAAGAAGCTGAAGCTTCAGGGATGCGGCGAGAGGTGATAAGCTGAGACTGTACCTTGATTGGATTACAGAATTCCACCTGTGGCTCGAAATGCATTGCGCAGTTTCTGAACACGTTCAGTGAACGTTGTCGGCTATATGTGAACAATTTCAAACCGAGGTCCGTAGTGCGCACCATCAAGGCATTCTTCCCTTAACAAGTCCAATGGATAAGTCAAAATTGCATGGTTCAGTCAGCCATACAGCTGCTGGAGCGACACGATAGCAGATAACGATGATTCATGAAGCTGTCAATGCAGCAATGATCAGGCACGGCAGTTTATTTTTCCAGACTCCTCTTCCAACATCTGCTGCCAGGAATGAATTCGGCCGACGCCAAGAGGTGATAAGGATCTGTCAAGTATCAGACGTAGAGTTTGAAGGATACATGCGCTTCAGGTGTCGATACTTGCGGAGCGAGTACAAGGCAAGGGTTTCTGACATGTTTCATGAGTTGAAGCAAGGAGTTTCAAAGCACTTCTAACTCGCCGTTCTTGATATATTCTCCAAATCTGAGCGCTTTCTCTATTTCCTCGTCATCAGTGAGGTTCCGGTTTTCTGTTGAAATGAGAAGCATTGATAACGTCGTGCGAGATTATCGTGGAAGTCAACCCACTTTCGAACAAGCGTCTAAGCTTCCCATGGAAGTCATATCTAAAGTGCATATGTGGATTTGGTTGGACCCTTAAGGTAGATGTGAAATTGAGGCATACGAAGGTTCATAATCTCTGCCCAGTCGGTGGAGTTCCTTATAAAGCGCAAGGGCTCTGAGTCGAGTTACCTTCGAAGCCATCTCTGGCCGAAGCGTCGTTGTCCAATTGACCGACTCCAACGTGCTTTGACAGTGAACAGCGGTACTGCTTGGAGTTAGTAGGTAATTGGTAGGTGTTCGGAAGTATTATGTGTATGGAACGTGCCACAGCCACTGTCTAGACTACCAGGTGACTTAAGCGCTGAGTAAATCGGACCGAGATCGTAAGTTTGGTAGATCATCCTCATCACTCCATGTTGATATCGAGTGGTCATTTCATATGGAAGTAACCACGTGTCAATCTGGCAGAACTACACAGTTCTGCCTATGTTGAGACAGGAACGAAGCTTTACGTCATTCATACATTTGATTATAGATCCGCTCCACTTGTGTCTCCGACTGGTAAAGTTCAAGCACGTGTGGAAACCGCATATACGTGTCTTGTGCGGCGGATCCATGTAAACACCGTAGAAATATGGGTACACACTTGACCCGATGAACCTAGGCCTCATTTCTTTGTTGGGTGGTTACTGCCACAGTGCCGCTGTAAGCCATTGCCATCGACTCTTGTGGTGCTTGATTGAGTTTCGGACTCGCTTGTAGGTAGCTAAGAGCCTAAGACGAGCCAAGACCTTACCTCAAATCGAACTTCGATTCTGAGCAGGCACCAACTGTGCGGCGTGAACGTCGCAGGACATGCGTAGCCTCGAGGTACGCAGCTGTCAGCACATCGGATCATGGGACCGAGTATACCAGGTTTGACGCGGATGTCGAGGAATATCAAGTCGCAGATACGCCGATACTATGGTCAACAAAATATAAACCAAGACCTTCAACGCAGCTTATAATTATACTTAGCTTGATCACCGGAACTAATCCTGGCAGGAACCGATGCGACTGAGCATGATATTATCTTTTAGAGTTCAGTCACTTGTCAGCTTAAGCCTTATATCCTGAAGCTGAACGTGAACATTCAACGTTCTTGCATCGCACACCACAATGACATGAGTACGTGACAGTATCAGTACGTACTGTGCACAGCTAAAAAATCAATTGGGCGCGTCCCAGCTGATGTGGCTAGGCCGGAGCTGTAGTATCAGTCATTCTGAATCAGTCGTAGATTGATGGCTAGTACTGTGTAGTAAGTACCCTGATTATGTAAGACCTCTGGCAAAAAACGTTCGTAAATATATCGATCGTAATATTGAACGTGCAGAACAATTAGTCATCAATACCGCACTTTCCATTGGATCGTATTGAACGTGTAAGGAACCCTGATTGCAGTTTCGGCGTGGTGGCACTGTAGATCCAGATCGATAACGATGATCACCCAAACCAGACGTTATAAAATGCAGGAAGGTGCGTACTTACCGCCTTCAGGATCCCCCCCTCCCCCCTTATCGTACTAGTTTTTACCAGGGACCTACCCCCCACTCGCGATGACTTCAAGCCACGAACACCAATCCAGTCGTGCATCATACCATGAAAAGGGGCAAACTAGTACTAATGTTACCGTGCTTGACGAGCGTCGTCGTGCGGCTCTAGCAGAAATCGATAATGCGCCCTTCTCGTAAGTCTTGCAATTTTGGTTTATTTCAATTCTTACAAGTCCATCTTGCCCCTAGTTGGTTCCATGTCAAGGTTTGCCTGGTAGCTAGTGTAGGTTTCTTCACCGATGCGTAAGTTTCTATATTGATGTGCTACAACCACCTCCGCTCATCCACCGTCAGCTACGACATTTTTGCTATCAACATCGCCTCCGTGATGTTGGGATTTGTCTATGGTCACACAAGTGAGCATCCCGAATTTTCCATTATGATCAATGTTACATGTCATTCCTACTAGAAAATCAGCTCAGCTCCAACCAATCTTTGGGTGTGAAAGTAGCTACTCCCGTCGGGAACTTGGTTGGCCAAGTACTTTTCGGGTGGCTCGCAGATATTATCGGCCGGAAGCGGATGTGTAAATCCAATTTCATGTCCGAGCTTACCCATAGCATTAATCCACGCTCTCATAGATGGCGTCGAGCTAATGATCATGATCATCGCGACATTTGGTCAGGCTCTCGCTGGTGAGGCTCCAGCAATAAATATTCTAGGTGTTATCATTGTCTGGCGTTTCATTGTAAGCACAACCATCCAATTCCGCAAAGTCTGCTCCTCACAGTCCCATGAATAGATGGGGATTGGTATCGGTGGTGACTACCCATTGAGTGCCATCATTTCCTCAGAATTCGCCGCTACACGTTCACGTGGTCGTCTCATGACTGCCGTGTTTGCTGCACAAGGATGGGGCCAATTCGGTTGGTTGATACATATTATCTCCCCAAATGATGTGGCTAATTAATCATCCACAATGTAGCTGCCGCTCTCGTCGGTATAATCGTTGTAGAAGCATACAAGGATTCCATTCTCAGTGCTCCGTTCCCTTGTAGAGTCCCTGTCGATCATACCTGGCGTCTCTTGATTGGTCTTGGATGTGTCCCTGGAGTTATTGCACTCTACTTCCGTCTTACCATCCCGGAGACTCCTCGTTTTACCATGGACATCGAACGCAATATTGCGCAGGCCACGACAGATATTGACAACGTGTTAACAACAGGGAAGTCAGTCCATAATGAAGATGCCCCCGTCCAGCTTGTCGAAGCCCCGAAGGCAACCCGCGCAGACTTCCGAGCATACTTCGGCCAGTGGAAGAACTTGAAAGTCTTGATTGGCACTGCCTACTCGTGGTTTGCTCTCGATGTAAGTTCCAACTCAGCTCCGAGGTTCCAAGTTAAGTTTTTTTTTGCGTTCAGATTGCTTTCTATGGCCTTGGTCTCAACAGCTCGACCATTTTGACGGCAATAAACTTTGGGAGCCCCACTAGCGGACAAACATCGCTCTTTGTTTATGAAACCTTATACAATATTTGTGTTGGTAATCTTATCCTCTCCATCGCGGGCTTGATTCCAGGATATTGGGTATCTTTCCTGTTTATCGACTCCTGGGGCCGCAAGCCCATTCAATTGATGGGCTTCACTATACTCACCATCCTTTTCATTATCATGGGTCCGTACACTTCATCCCTATAAATTCAGGTACATGGAGTTGACAAATTCTCGGCAGGTTTCGGTTATGATAAGTTGAACACCGCCGGCCCGGGCAGGAAAGCTTTTGTCTTCCTGTACTGCCTCACCAACTTCTTCCAAAACTTTGGTCCTAACACGACCACTTTCGTTGTTCCGGGAGAGGCTTTCCCCACCCGTTACCGATCAACTGCACATGGTATCTCTGCTGCATCCGGCAAGCTTGGAGCTGTCGTATCCCAGGTTGGCTTTGCTCAGCTGATTAACATCGGTGGCAAGAACCAATTCATAGGCCATATGTGAGCAGCACAAATTCTAATCCATGCACAGAATCTAAATTTGAGTTTTAGTATGGAGATTTTCGCTCTGTTCATGTTTACTGGTATTTTCTCGACACTTCTCATCCCCGAAACAAAGCAAAGATCGCTTGAAGACATTTCGAATGAGGAGCAGGAAGGCTACATCCAAGGCGTTCCTGAAGCGACATCTTAGGCAAATACCACTGTGCGCGGGACACCATGAAAATGGTGTCTTGCGAACTTAGCCACGGACTACGCTCACTATCTATGAATACTTTCCATGTCTCCTCTTTTGTATCGGTGCACTAAATAAACAATGCATGTAATTACAATGACCTATAATGTTAAGTTAAACTCGCCCTGTTGATAACCGAACACGTTAATGAAACTGCAAGCTTCACGGAAAGGTACAGTGTTGATGGTGACATGGTCATGGTTAGCACTGATTGGCAACGTTTCTTCTTCTCCAGAACTTTCTGGAGAAGTGATCGCAAAGTCCGGAAGCCCCCTCAGGCCTCGATACCGATACACTCAGGGGGCTAGCATGGGAGAGCAAACAGCTGCCGGCCTGGAGGAGAACACATATCACTTCGCAGAGCTATCCATACTGTCTGAGCTTGCCGCTGGGAACTAATGGACATTCGAGAGGAGTATCCGCGAGTTAAAATGAGGAAGTTTTCTTAAGCACAAGTCGAATCTCTAGGGTAGTCAAGCACTGCAGGAGCTATAAGAAGACATGATATTTCCTCGCTAGATGAACAGCGAGATACATGTCAATTTAGATTATGACGCCACTGTTTTCAGCTTCTTTTTCTGTATGACACAAGGGAGTAAGCCATGGCTATTTGCACGCTGAGAAAAGGGCCTACATAGCTGACAGCGTCGAAATCATATTTAATGCCAACTTCGGCCAGCTTTCGCTTCCTCTCGTTTTCCCTTTGAATCAGACGCTTCTCGGCTTTTCGCATGCTTTCTTGGGTTCGTGGCTACCAACAATAGGACTGAGTCATGTCGTTAGTAAACTTTCATTCGACGGACCTTGTTATGTTCTTTCCGCACAATCTGATCTCTTGGGATGGCCTTCCACTTTTTATTTGCACCTACCCACAACTCGGGGTGCACCTTCTCCTTGGGTATTATCTTGCACTTAAGTATATGGCCCATCAACAAATAGTTATCCATCGTCTCTGCGACAATTTGCGCGACGGACGCCGAGTCGAACTCGACAAAACCGTAGTGTTTTGATCTGCCAGTCTGATTCACCCTCAGATAATGCCAACCACCGCGACAATTTGAGTACCTTTTTGTTCCGTGAGATACGCAATCTTGTTACATCCCCGAATTGAGAGAGATATCCTTTCAACTGATCTTCGTAGAACCCATGTGGTAGGCAGCCCATGTATATTACACCTCGGTCTTGAGTCTATTCCAGTGTAAGAGATAGCATGTCAATGACTGGTAGATACACTCACTGGATGCCGTTTTGCTTTCTCAAGTTTCCTCTTTACTGTTGCATCATCCTTGGCGACAGTAGGTAGTCGCCCGATATCCACCTCTTCATCAGCCACTGCATCATCGTCGGATGAATCATCCTCGTCTGTTGAGAAACCATAAAGATGTTCATCGTCCTCGGCATCCGAGTCTTCACTTTTTTCTGAAATAACTTCAGGCTCCTTCGCAGGTTTCGGTATTGGCTTCGGCTTGGAAATTAGATCAGCAGAAAACGATGTTCGTTTTCCAGGATTTGAAATCGACGTTTTTGAAGCCGACTTGAGCGACGATTTTGGGGCCATGTCGATGATTTTTCGAGTATAGTTCAAGTGCCGGTGACCTAGCTATGATTACTATATTAGTAGATCAGTACTCTTCAGAAGCTTTTGGACAACAAACCACAACAACTCGTCTACTTCATGATCCCAAAGTTCGCTAATCCGCACCTCCAAGGTCAAGGCTTTGAGCTTGTGTCTCGAGCACAGCTTAGGTCTGATGTAGACCCCTTTATTGACGCGGACGGTACATCTGATGTTGAGGTCACGACTTCGAAGCGCAAGCTGCATGAGCTCCTCTTCTCGGAGTTTGAGAAGTTTCTATCAACAGCTCCTAGTCATCCTTGTAGGAAGAAGAGGCGATGCAATGGGAGCGAGCTACCACCACCGGACTTACAGGACGGTCTAATATGTATGTATCCAAACGTGTAAGAAATGCTCCATAACGGCTCATCTATACAGCGTTTCGTCTGCTTTCCAGTACAGCACCTCCAAGGATCATATCAACTATCCCGAAACCTCCACCCAGGCCAAAGTACTCCATTTCACATTGAATTTTTTCTTCCCTCATGATTCTCCTTGTCTGAAGAACAAGACCACCTGATTGCGAAGACAATCCTATCCAAGCTGACGAACGGATGAGACGCGCCCAGGCTGTAGCCGTAGACTTTGCACGGCCAGACGTGCCGTCGCAAAAGCACATCAATGTGCGTAATATGCAATATCCACAAATTTTGGCGTTGTAGAAATCATCCCATTCAGCCATTTGTACAAGACAACAAGAAAGTCATTCGTATGAAAGGCAATTTACCAATTCCTCACCCTGCAGTGATGGTCACCGAAAGTCATCGACACAGAACAGTGCGTAGGCAGGCAATTGCACCAACAATACCTGGTGCCATCGACTCCCCACATTCATTGCGGGCAACCTGCATTGTTTTCCCTACTGCTTTCCCTGAGGATTTGCAACTACATCGCAAGACACACACCAAAGCAGTTAAGAAGAAGCGGTCTTACGAACGGCCGCCTCCTGCTTATTGGAGGCCAGATTCTAATCAACGGGGACAATGCGTGGGCTATGGATTGGGCTATCCAGGAAGTTGGAGTGTTCGTTACGAGGGCGATCCGAGGAAACGATGGTATGTGAGAGATACCATGCGGAAAGCGACTTTCATCGCGTAGAACTTCTTTGTTGCCGTTGAGCGTGATTATTCTTTGAATCACATTCATGGACGTTTCGAATTTGTGAGTTGGAACTTTACTTAGATTGAGGCAACTTTGAGTTTGAGGCCTTGATGTAGCCTATGATAAAGAGACCTTATCTCCATTTGTCTAGTGTGGTTCTAAACTCTAATGATGCCGTAGCAACGTTCGTGCACTGCACCGGACGAAGTTTGTCTTGCTGTCAGCACATCAGATTGTGCAGTTCATCAATTGGACATACATTACAGGGTATACTGCATTTCCCATGTTCATAGTAGTTCATCATTGACAAAAGCTCTCAGCATGGCCAGCCTCTTTAGACTGCTTGTACCCCAGGAGAGAGTTTCGTTGTCGGTATCAACTCTTTCAACATTTTTCTTGCCGGCCTTTGTATCGTACCTTGCAATGGGCGTGCTCGTTCAAAGAAAACGCACTGCAACGATCCGCTTTGCGCTTCTTCCAGTTATATTGCTGTGCGCATATCGAGCTGGCTCGTCGCTCGATTTTTCGTTCGGCATTCCCAACTACCGTTTTCTCAATCAAGGCTTAGTTGTGAGTGTACCGAATAACATATCACGAGGGGCTCTGTCTCATTCAAGTATTACAACTCAGCTTGCCATATTCACCCTTTCGATGCGATCGACTGCTTGGGCTTTTGCAAAAAAACCATACAAACGAATGACTTTGCAACCAAACAACAATTTCCATGGTGATACCATGTCAGGCAGCACAAGCAACCAGTTTACCAATATTGAGAATACCCCACTATATACCGCCATCTGGAACGTGTGGGATCTATCAGTTAACCTTCGCGGGATTGGGTGGGATTGGGCGGAAGGCTTGCGCATTCCTGAGAGCAGTCTTGGAACAAAGTCAACATTAAAGTTCCTGCTCATCACTCTCGCGAAGCTACTGTTCTATGCGCTCGCATTTGATGCTACCTCTGGAGCCGCTCGCGATTTTTCTCCAGAAACATTCGGATCAATTGAAGGAGGCACAATATTTGATCCATCGCTGCCGCCTCTCAGTCGCTATACCCGGTCTACTATCATTACGATCCTCTCTGGTTGGACAGCATATTTTGTGATTGAATTGGTGTATCAGATACACGCTATTGAGTTCGTCTTGTTATTCAGACAAGCACCATCTCAATGGCCGCCCTTGTTTGATGCTCCGTGGCTTTCGACATCGCTGACCAGTTTTTGGGGTCACAAGTGGCATCAATTGTTCCGGGAGTGCTTCATATCAGTCGGTGCTCGACCATTGTCATACCTACTTGGTCGCACCGGAGGGGTCGTGGGCGCATTCCTCATCTCAGGCGCTCTGCACTATCTTGGATTGAAGGCAATGGAACGAGGTGGTCACCCTGTTGTTGTGTTTGGGTTCTTCTTCATGCAGGCCATCGGCCTAATTCTGGAAGGCATATGGAAGAAACGTACGGGCTTACGTGTCGATGGATTTTTGGGCTTGTTGTGGACTTGGCTCTGGGTGGTCTTTTGGGCTAACTTCATGGTTGACGCATGGGGGAAAGTTGGTTTGGTCGGGTCCAAGTTCTTCCCCGACGATTACAGACCGACAGTCTTACTTGTCCACTTGTTGGAATATTATTTTATGTAATGCAGAAGCAATCAACGAGGCGCCTATAAACAGGGCAGACATCAAAATTGATGCGCCGGCGGGATCTCCATTACGTTTCAGACTTCCGACATTGCCTCCTGCTGCTCCATCGTAGATGTCCAAGATCTGTGCGAATACCTCGGATGCCCGGTTCATATGCAAAATTCGGGAGATGCCTGTGTCACTAGTGCGATGAAATGAGCGTTAGCTAATCTCGTGTAGGGGAATCTGATGGTTTCACCGGGGAGCTCGCGAGGGTGTGTTACATTATCCACGGCCTGTCTCCAACCTCGACTATGTACTCGTTTTCTCGCTGCCGGGAGCGCTGATCAATGAGGCATTGCGGGGATGAAAAAATGCAGGCTCACCTCCGTCTGTCCGAGGTAAGTATACTACTTTCAGTTTGTCAAAACATTGTGAATAGCGTATTCAAGCTGAAGCATCGTGTCGTTGCAAGAAGGATTGTCTACAAGCCTTTCTATATTCCAAATGTTTGCTTCGGACATTACCAAATGATATTTCATGTTGGAGTCGCGGTGTGCTGCAAAATGAAGGAACTTGTTACATAGTTTTATTTCTTACGTAATCTTACCTTGCTGCCAATGGTTGCCGGAGCCCCTTCGAAGGCGAAGTAATATTGACTGTAACATGACCTCGACGCCCCCGCCAGCTGGTGCTTTTGTCGTCCCGCAAATACCTCGTCTTCCATCGACAGCAAGTTCGCGTAATCGAGTTTCAATAGGATCATCCTTCTCGTTTGGCCCGCAACCAATCATTTCCTCATTCTCTGCGGCGGATATGAGTGGCTCAGGTCGACCCCTTGCGCTTGATCCAAATCGTTCTATGCTTCCAAGCTCGCCAAGATCCTCGCTTCGGCGATATCGGCGAGCGAAAGAGAGCATAGGCCGTCATCCCCTTGCGAATGATTCCATGGATGTTTTTCAGGACACTGAGATGGAATCTGACAATGACGATGGCGAATGGGGGATGATTGACCGGATGAGGCTGTGGCGGCACGATGCTTTGATGCAGCATCTGTATGAAACTGCCGCCTTCTGGGGAGATAAGATACTGTCATGGACCAGTAAGTCGCGCCGCCTCGATGATTGCTATTGCTCTGACTGTTCTTATTATTGATGTATCTTCTGTGACGTGTAGATGACGCAAATGACGCGTTTTGGCTAGCTCAGACTTACTTCATGACCCATCAGTACGCGCGTGCTGAAAGACTCTTGACTAGGCCCTTTCCTGCGATGACACCAAACGTGCAGAGTGCACCCTTGAATGGCCTTGAACACAGGCTAGTAGACGATCTTAAAATGGGTAGTTTGACTGCAGACACAAAAGGCAAAGGCAAGGAGGGGCACCCTGACACAAGTATAATGCCTCAATTGCCAATGGGTGACGTTGGCATGATGCAAATTCCTGAAGAGTTACAGGATTCCGTATCAAGACTTGTGGACATGAGTGTAGCCTGCAGATATCTTGCTGCGCAGTGCCAAGTGCGGCAAGGGAATTGGACAGACGCGACGGAGATGCTCGGTGAAGCGAATCCATTCCGTCATTCAGGTTGATATCAATCATGTACGACTGCTGCCATCTACTAACAGATCATTCAGCAAGGAGTGGGCCTGCCGTGCCGAATGTCGATGGTGGCATCAAGGTAAGCGGATATACATTCCCGACCACAACATTTGAACTCTTGTTTGGTTGTGTAGGTCGAAGCATCCATGTGCCATTTGCGTGGCATACTTATGCTTAAGCTGAACCGTGGAGACCAAGCAAAGCTTTGCTTCATGGAGGCATTAACTTTGGACGTCAAATGTTATGATGCATTCGACCAACTAGTCAGTGGTGAAATGATGACTCCGGACGAAGGTTAGGCCACAAGTATCATTGCTCATTTCCTGGTATTTGACTGCCATAGAATGGGAGTTTATCCAGGGTCTCGCTTACAGGGAACAAACGCAAGACGATGCCGATTTTGTGCAGCTGATATACACTTCTCAATTGCGGAAGTATAAACATGCAGAAGAGCATGCCCTGACCCGGAGACGTCTTGTCGAGGAATTTGGACTTTCTGACAATCCCGATGTGTTATTCAGTTTTGCTGATGCACTCTATGCTCAATTCCGCTGGGCTGATTGTTATACTATCACGACAAGGTTAGAACACTTGTCGAAAGGAGTTTAAATTCATCTCAGATGTCTCTTCACAGGATATTGGGGCTGGTTTCTATTCATGATCCTACCATGCCATTGCACATTGCCTGCATGTACCATCTCAACCATCTTCACTCAAAACTCTTTATTCTAGCACATGAACTTGTGGAGCGGGAACCTGAAAACCCCATTAGCTGGTATGCAGTTGGAGTTTGGTATCTTGCATCAGGGAAATGGCCGCAAGCCCGACAGTACTTCAGGTGAGTCTATCAGAGCTTCTTTCTTCGCATGCTTGTGAAGCATCCACATCCACAGTAAAACATCACTTATGGATCCACGGTTTGGGCCTGCATGGATCGCGTTTGCCCACACGTTTGCGATGGAAGGCGAGCATGACCATGCTGTCACTGCGTATTCGACCTGTGCTCGCATGTTCACAGGGTGAGGTTGTTCTCGATCAGCTGAGTCGTGATAGACGTGCTGAAGAAGCCCAGTTCTCATTTACCATTGCTATTTGTGGGCATGGAGCAAATTATGCTGTCCAATCATTTGTTAGCCGATGAAGCGTTGAACGCTGCCTATGCCACATGTGATGGAGACCCTCTTCTTATCAATGAATTGGGAGTTATGGCATTCACGCACGGAGAGTGAGCACAGCGCTGAGCCAATCTTCTGAGGCTCATGCTGATTCAATCAGCAGCTACCAGCGAGCAGCGGATCTTTTCAAACGTTCGCTCGAACTTGCTCAAGTGACGCAAAGCTCCCAGATGTCATGGACGACAACATACCTCAATCTCGGAACTTGTTATAGAAAGTTGAAGTTAGTTTAGTTTAGGTTGCTCGAGAGCGTGCACAGCTGACGTGCTTGTCCCAGGAATTATGAGATGGCCAAGACAAACTATCAGCATGTGTTAGAAATTGAACCCCAACATCCTCAGGGTCTTGGTTATCTGGCCATGGTGTATCATCTCCTCGGAGAAATAGATAAGGCAATCATCAAATATCACGAGGTATGCTGCAACCTTTGGCATGGTTTGTTCCTTACGTCCATCCCTAACGTCCATCACGAAGGCACTAAGCATTGATCCCATAAACGGGCACTTAATCGAATTGCTGAACCTCGCATTGGAGTCTGACCTTTGTTGTGGTTCGTTGGAGAAAGTTTACCCCGGTGGCGAGGAAGCTTTCCGGGCTATGATGGTCTCTCTGAAGACCAAGGTCCTAGATGCCTCCAAAAAGCCCAAAGTGGATAAACCAGGTGCAGATGTGGCAATGAGTGTAGGATGATGAGGGTAGACGATGTGTCGTTGTAGGTCAGTCTCCACTCCCACGCTGTCTTCGGCATACATGCAGTCCCAAAACGCGATTCCTCGAAATGGTGGCGATCTCCTGCCAAAGAAAGTAACGCTTCCAGCCTAGCAGTACCTGTTTCTTCCATCATTCGTCTGAATATACAGATACCTTTTGATGCCGAAATGCCGATGCTTCGTTCTCCACAGTCTCCCACAGCGGACAATACGTCGAACCATAAGACAAACATTAGGGTGCAAGCCTTACGCAAGATGCACAGCTGTAGTATGACCCTCATTCGGATTGGCCAAAAATGACCCGATGACGCGGCTATGAACTCTGCACCACGGGCGTCTTTGGGTGAGACGCAACTTGACCACCTTCTCCAACGATGAGGTCTACAACCCATAAAGCCGCTAGTAACGACATCTTTGCATGCCTACAGAGTGATACCCCGGACTGGGATTTCTTGGTACGTTACCAGTACATTTCTTGATTCTTTGTTTAAATGGGCAAGCAGGACGCCCTGTTATCTGAACTCATGATATCACCAACATTATCAGAGCAAGCATTGCTGTTTTACCGTGAATTATGTACCCATTTGAATGCAGCAAATGATAGACTGCTGGCGTCAGCAACTCCTCAGCATGCTCATCGTCTTCTGAACGTCTTCACATCCGTTGCGAACATTCAAGAAAAAGTAGATGGCAACACACCATCCACTCTTCGTCATTATGTGAATGCGATTGAAACGGGTATCCGTCTTTCACCGCCGCTGTCCTCAGGAACCACGTTGACATTCCGAGATATCATTCTTGCCAGCTGGTTTGCATCGCTTGCATTTTCCACGCTACCGCCATCACCAGAACCGAATAATATCTTGGACGCAATCCAAGATCGTGCTAGCACCAACCATCTTCCACATTTCGACGACACTAGCTTGGCACTAGTGCATGCAGTCCATCATGCCAGTGACGGCTTCATTCATGCTATGCTGGATCCCATTACCGGAACACTGCCCAATGTCGTACTTTTTCCAGATCAGGCGCAGATGCTGTCGGTTGTCGTTTTTGCTTCCCCACATACCACTTCTGATGTATGGGCTGCACTTCACTCTGGTCAATCGACTTATGAAGTCAAGACTGCAACCTCATCTGCGTTGCTTACCCTTGCACGGCGCATTCAGGAAGGCGCATTGATTGCTGACCTCGGTCTTGATATTCCGCATTGTTCCAGTGATGCGCTGGTTCTCCTGCTTCACTATCTTGCGCTATCATTGTTTCCGAGTGCCTCTGCATTCAATGATACTGGTGTTGTCCTGTGCGGCATGAGCAGCAATGCGGCTTCAAATACGCCACGAGTCGCTTGTGGAAGGGATGTTGCCCGCCTTTATTACGAGAAAGGGTTGCAAATCGATCCCACGCATCCCCATTTACTTTCGAATTTCGGCTCGCTGCTGAAAGACGCTGGCCACAATACCTGTGCAGTTGGGTGAGTTGTACCAACATCTGTGAAGACTTACATATGCATAAAAAATTAAAGGGTTTTCAACTACGCTCTGCAACTACACCCTGAATTAGACATTGCACTGGTCAACATGGCAAATACCCTGAAAGATATGGTAAGCATTACTTGCTTCTCAGACGAGCTGCTGTATCCAAACGTCTTGGCTTCGCAGGGCCGTCCTGCAGATGCGATTCCTTATTACCTTAAGGCTGTAACCATAAATGCAGGCCTGGTCGATGCCTACTGTGGATTGAGCATGTCTATGAACGCAGTCTGTAACTGGACAGCGCGAGGTAATGTGTGACCTTTTGCACCAATACAAGCTCAACATTCCGCAGACCATTGGTTGACAAACACCATAGTGATATGTGAAGAGAACCTTTCGGAGCTTCATCGTCAGAACATAGGCATCCTCGGTGAGAGGAGTGTTGATGACTGGCTTCTCAATGTAGCCTTAACTACATCAAGACCTCAATGCGACCACAGCTTGAGAAGATGGGTTCACCGATTTTACCTTTTCACAGATGTTTCTGATGGGCGACAACCTCTCCTCAACGAAGGGAGTTTCCTTATACGTCTTATCGACTGGTACCGGACTAGGATGCAACACCGACGTTACGTCGAAACTTATGGAGAGACACTCTACAGTGAAGAGGCATCATATTCACAACCAAGGGCAGCTCCTACTGCGAAGCTGTTTGGCTTTGTCCTTTCCTCGGCGTCCTTACAAAAAGTTCCAACTGTACTACCTTTTCATACTGTATGTCAAGTCCACGTCAATGTCTTTCAATTTTTAGCTTACATCCCCCGATAAGTTCACGCTTCCACTGCCTAGCCGCACCATTCGACGCATCGCACACAGAAATGCCCTTCGTGTGTCACATAATATAATGACGCAGATATCACCAGACAGAGTGCCATTACTGCCGCGGCCTCCGTGGAAACGGCGTATTAACGTCGGCTATGTGTCCAGCGACTTTAGGTACAACTAGCTGATGCTTTGTTTCTCGCGCTAATGCTGACAAGAGCATAGTGACCATCCCTTAAGTCATTTAATGAAGTCGGTTTTCCAGCTGCACGACCAGGATCGGTTCTGCGTCTTCCTATATGCGACGAGCCCGTCAGATGGGTCAGTCTTCCGACAGTACTTTGAGCACGGCGACTTCAACTTTCTCGACGTCTCTTCGTGGTCAAGTGTAGACATAGTTAACAGGATTGAAGAGGATCATATACATATCCGTGCGTCGCATACCTCCTTCAGGACGTGCCATTGATGCAATAGCATAGTTGTCGACTTGGGTGGTTATACCAGAGGAGCGAGGAACGAGATCTTCGCTGCAAGGCCAAGTCCCGTTCAGATCTCGTTGATGGGTTATGCTGGAACATTGGCAGCCAGTGGGTTTTTACCCTATATAGTCCTGACCATTGCCACCCTGACCTATCATCTTGCTCAGGCTGGTGCGACTATCTCGTCTGTGATAGCATCACATGTCCTGTCGACCTATTTGCACGGGTTCAAGCATATCGAAAACAAAGCCTAAATTATTGCTGCCAGCACAGTGATTTTGGGGTTCCAGTAGGAGAGGAGGGTGATCCAGAATCATCTTCTCCCCATTGGATCTAGTATGTTCTAGACATTTACTTCAAATCCAGGCTAATATGAATTTAGCGCGGAGTGTCCAATATATATGCCAGTAGGTTTAGATTCTTTTACTGCTGCCTGGGCGTCTTTAGCTTCGAACCCTTTCGTTAGCATACATATTTTGTCACCGACCACAAACAGTCTTATCGACATGGCGAAAATCTTTCTGTCGAGGAGCGTGCTCAGATGCCAGCGGAAAAGCTATGGAATGATGAAATCAAGTGTAGAACAGATCTTAGACGAGCCCTGTTTCCTGATTTACCCTTGTAGGTGCCGCTACCGTGTTCTTACAGCCCATTTTCATCCTTGTTCTAGGAATGCTATCATTTTTGCCAATTTCAATCAAGTACGTGTCCTTTCGCTGTTGTTCACTTGCTGTTGTTGATTTTTGTCTTTAAACCACAAAGTTGTATAAGGTTTGGACTGCAATTTCATTATACGTGAACAACTAACAAACAGCGACCAAACAGATCGACCCCGTGAGTCTCTGGCAGTACTTGATATCGTCAACGGGTCGCTGAGTTCGTGTCAGAACATATTTGCAACTTGGCTTCGTATTCTAGCCCGGGTTCCATGTAGCATTCTTTGGTTACTGCGATTTCCCACTGCTGGAGAAGCCTACCTGATCCAAACTGCCAAGGAGTGGGCAGGCGACGAGATAACATCACGTATCAGGTTCACGGATGTTGCTGAAAAAGACTATCACATCTACCGATGCCGAGTTCCCGATCTATTTCTGGACACGTCAGAAGTAAGTCTTTGACGATTAGCGCCCCCTGCACAGGCTGACTTGTTTATTAGTGTAGCGCGCACACTGTAGCAGCCGAGTGAGTGGTTGCATTCATATCCCACGAGGTTGAAATTGACTGTATATTATCCAGCGTGCTCTGGGCTGGCACGCCGATAATTGCTTGCACCTGGCCTAGTCATCGACACAAGATGTCTTCTAGGGTCGCTGCGAGCTTGGCCAGTGCTACGGGGTTTGGCGAGTACATGGTGGTATCCAGTAGGGATGAATACGAAGAACGTGCGGTGGCCCTAGGGAACAGCATGTGTTACACTGTGCAACCCAATGGCGATGGGGAAATAAGTGGGGACCTGCTTGACCTACGACGGCGTCTTTTCTTAAACAGAGATACCATGCCCTTATTCGACACGGAGCGATGGACAAGGAACTTGGAGAAGGCATATCGGATGGCTTGGAAGCGGTGGGTGGATGGCTCTATGTTTAGGATGAGTGATGATGGTTGTATCTGGGTCAAGGACGATATCGATGTTCCCATCCGCATGGACTGATGAGATACCCCACCTGTGTAGTCAATCACTCACGTACTCGATGTGCGCTCAATAAATGTTATGTAGTAGGACAACCTGGAGTACGATGTCGATTTACATACAAGCAAGTACAGTTGACTATCTCATCCCCGACTCCCACTTTTAGTGGGAAGAGGGTTTTGTCGGATCCAAACGTCCAGGCACCTATACCCTGATGCGTGAGAACATTTTTGGTTACAGTTGATGATGGTCAGAATGAATGCGTGGTAGCGATTCGGATCGAGGCCCATGTCGTCTGACGCGTCTCTACAGTGAAGAAATAGCTTCATATCTAGAATGTCTGTGTTTCTCTCGAAACACCTCAGCACGTGTCCCTTCTGCAGTGAGACATAGAGCCATAGACAAATTATGTGATACCATGGCCCTGTCAACGACGCGGCTTCCCGACTCGATGCGGCATAGCGCCAGCTCTGATTGTTCTGATCGGCCCAGTCTCCATGTCATAACTACCTGCTTATCTTCCAAATCGTTGGAATTCGAACCAACTAATCCTCCTGTCAGTGTTAGTGTTATCCATGAATACTGCTCATCCCCCCGTACTAGTTGTAAGTGACGACCTATGACACATGTTTACATCTCAGCTGAATTCCTTGTTAGGTTGGCGCTGGGCCAGTGGGTCTGGTAGCAGCGTTGACGCTCCTCCAAAATGGTATCTCAGTTCGCATCATCGATAAAGACCCCCATCCTCGCATCGGACAGCGTGGTACTGGAATATGGGTTTGTCGCACATCCACTTGTCACATTGCCGGTCTCACTGAAGGCATGCTCTATGTAGCCACGTTCCCGCGAACTCTACAACTTCCTGGGCGTTTCAGAAGTCATTAGTCTGGCAAAACCAGCCCCTCCCATCCGTTTTTACAAGCCCGGAACGTTGGAAAGTCTGGAAGACGCAGTGCTGGTCCCGCATGTCGAACCTACTCCAGCAATACCATTCGTGTGCAACACGGTCGCCTGATCAAACCTTCATGCTGACTCGGTTTTTTTAGAACGGCCACAGAGCGATGGGTCAACAACTCCTAGATGTCATTCTGCGACGCCACCTAGAGAAATTCTCTTGTTCCGTCGAGATGGGCACCGAACTCCGCTCGTTCGAGCAGTCCGATGAGGGAGTCACTGCTGTTCTAGCAAAGAATGGCATATCAGAGACTTTTGATACTAAGTGGATCATCGGCGCTGATGGTGCTCAAAGTGAGACGCAGCTAAATCTGTTGGGATGCACGAGACCGAAAGTGGCTTTGCAGGCATCGTGCGCAAGCAACTTGGTCTCACATTTTTGGGCGAGACTAGAGACGATGCCCATGCTGTGACAGGAGATATCCGCTTGACGGGCGTTGGCCTCGATAGACTGGTACGTCCATTTTCTGCATATCTCATGGAAAGCTCTTCTATTGTAGTCTTGAAGTATTGGCACCGATTTGGAAACTGGAAAGAACAAGGGTATGTTCAGTTGAGCTTGGAGACATGTATATTGACTATATGCAGCCTCTCATTGCGCCCAGCAGACGAAATTGGCGATGACGGCTGGCAATTTTTCCTCTTTGGCCATGAACTAGATTTGACTAAGATCGCCGAGAGCGAAAAGCTCGTTTTCGAGACCATCACGTCGTTAATGCCAACGGAGATTTCATTCAACAAGCTGGTTTGGATGAGCTACTTCAAGTGCGTTTTGTGTTCCTGGCTGTGTTGATGCATGTTTATCGGTTTGTTCCAGGCCTAATATCCGGATGGTGAATAAGTTTAGCGAGGGTCGAGTGTTCGTTGCAGGCGGTATGTGGTTCCGTTCGAGATGTGCATGGCTATGCTCATGCATGTCATCATAGATGCTGCTCAGTATGCTATATTTGAATGCTTCTTCGTAAACTACCACTAACACATATCCAAGCGTCCATAGCCCAACGGGTGGTCAGGTATGGTTGATCCGATTATTGCTGACACTTGCTCATTTGTCTACGAACAGGGACTCAATTCAGGCGTACAAGATGCAGTGAGTCGGGTAGATGCAGCATGTGTGTTGCAACTGACCGCACCCTACACCAGTTCAATCTAGGATGGAAGCTTGCGCTCGTCCAGAAAGGGCTCGCCGACAAATCTCTTCTCGAGACATACAGCGCCGAGCGTCTGCCTGTGATCTCCGAGATGCTCGGCGTGACCACCTCGATTCTCGACAAGACGATGGCATCTAAAGAGCCGCAGATCGGACGAAATTCAATCCTGTTCATGCTCGGCATCAACTGCCGATTCAGCACCATCGTACTCGATGAATTTGTGACTTCAGTCGAGAAACCAATCAACGCATACGGAGTGCTTGACGAAGGGCATCTGGAGGCCGGGGACAGGGCACCTGATGCACCCAATATGCTGCAGGTGGGGCGCGCAGAGCCTGGCGCGACTACGCTTTTTAGTTTGTACAGACCCTGGTACCACACAATCCTTGTATTTGCGCCGAGTCTCGCTGATGCTACCCCGATCTTGGGTGCACTGGAGACATACGACAAAAGTGTCGTACGATCGGCAGTCGTTCTGCCATCATCGGCATCAGTAACGTCTGTCGTATCTCCTGCTGATCTCGTTCTCGTTGATCAGGAGGGCCATGCTTATTCGGCTTACCTCATGGAAGCTGGTCAGACGAAGGTGTTTGTGATACGGCCAGACGGAGTGGTTGGGGCGATAGTTCATGGTACGGAAGGGGTGAAGAAGTATTTCTCAAAAATTCTTGTGCAGATCTAGTGGCCCAAATATTTATTCATTCTTTACTTGAGGCTTTGTATACATGTACAGCTTATTCCTGTATACCTCATGCAATGTAGTGTATGATATCCGTAACTGAAAATGAGAAAATGAAAGTGATGCACAACGGAGAACCGCACAGTAATATGCACGAAAATTTTGCGCGAGCTCCGTCGTGCTTCAAACTACGACGTAGACAGGTTGAATATCAGTTGATCCCCATCATACATCAAAAATTCACCGAATTATATTCTGTTTTTTCCGTGTTTTTTTTTAATGTCTGGGGTCAGATATTTCAGACAGTTTGGTGAAAACTGAAGAAAATAATCATTGCATCTGGCAGGATTTGAACTCATGACTTTTGAACTGTGAGTTAGATCATGTGACTATTACACACAACTTCAAGCAGCATTAACCACTTGGCCATAAGACCTTTCCTATATACAACAATACGTCATATATATATATCACACTCCACTGAGTTGGAAATATTTTTTGTTTCACTCCCTCAACAATTACTTTATAATCACCTTGCTTGCAAGGTCATATGGCATGTGAGAATGTGTGTGGGATTTTCTGCCAATAATAAACAATAATAAACATCACTAAACTGTATACAGCTTTCTTTCTACAATCACAATCAAGTACCATCTACTATGTCGCAAAAGCTCAATTCTGCGCTCAAACCTGCTGTGAATATTTATTCCCTATCGTGTCTATGGAGTTGTGGCTATCAGACATCTTCTCTGAGAGACCTGAGTGTCACCGTCAACTCTGAGTCACCAAAAGATCGATCAAGGAAGCTGGCTAACTGAAGCCGGGTGTGTCCCCTGTAAGTGTTTAAATTTCAAGTGATGTAAAGGTCCAAATCTTGTTTCTGCAACCAGGAAGGCTGATGTAAGCCAGAGCTCTGAAAACCTTCCCTTCTTTCTTCTTCCACTGACACTGTGCGGCTGGAGATTCAAGGTACATTTGTGTTTTTGTTTCTTCCAGTTCAATCCGCCGGTTTGGGAAGCCTCCAGGAGGTGCACTAGATTGGTAGGCTACTGCAGCAAAGATAGGCCTCCAGGAGGCGTCATCGGAGCATCATGCAGTAGCTTTGTTTATTTTCCTGAGTCCGATGTAGATGAGGAATCTTGACTATACGTGAAAACACTTAAAACAAAAGGGGTGCTCAACAGCAAGACCGGGATACGAGACAACGACTCGACCCAAAGGACAACTACTGAGAGAAGTTCCTCGAAATAAAGTGGAGGGAAACTCTTGTGAGCTAGGCGGGCGCTAATAGGCGCGAGAAGATAACGCGCGCGAAGGCGCGCGTGCGCGAGGCGAAGGCGCGCGAGATGCGCGCGTGAGCGGGAGGTCCGAGAATGCGCGCGCGCGAAGCGAAGGCGCGCCTAAAGCGTTAGAGGCAAGATCTTACTGAGGAGTGAGTGCAAAGGTGGAGGATTGACAGGAGGATATGATCAGATAACAAGTGGGGAGGTGATCTATTCACTTTCCAGTCTACAAAGATAAGGGAAAAGTAAGTACCAGAACTAAAGGAAACCCTTCTGTATTTAAGAATGGAGAAGGCGCGCTTCCGAGCGCGCTCCCGAACCGAGTAACCATATCAACTCTAATTATAACTAAGTTTAAATAAACTTTCCATAAGTAGCGCGGATGTCGGACCGAAGATTTTATTAGTTCAATGGATAAGATAGAAATAACGCACCAGCGAATCAGTAAGGACATGGGACGGATGGACGGACGATAGCGCGAAGACCTATGAGGAGGCGCGCGAACGCGCGCGCGAAGCGCGCATAGCGCGTGCGTAGGTAAGGCGCGCGTAAGTGCGCGCGAGTTCGGATAAGGCGCGCGCGAGTGCGCGCGAGACTGGTCCTTAGGAGTAGAGCTGTAATGTATAGGAATGTATGGTTAAAGGCCGGATATTCGTCATTGAGACGCGCGAGTCTCTACATCTCCTGGGGACTTACATTCTGAGTGTCCCCACTCAGTGCTATAACGCAGGATCTTGGACTTAGAGAGGTGGTGATAGACAGGGATCAGGTGATCGCGAGAGTAGGGCCGTCCTTTGATGATCGCGAGCATCGATGATGTAATCGGAGGAGATGTTGATAAGAAGATGGACGCGTTCTCGCGATCTCTTGACTTCTTTGTTATCAGTTTTTCATCATGCCTACTTTCAACGTTGCTATGCTGAACTCTACTCCTTCCCCTGAGCCTGTTCCAGT